AGTGTAGAGGTTTTTTTTATCCGTACATAAAGAGTAATACACCTTAGTGAATTCGTCACCTGAAACATAAACACCTCACACCCTGGTTTCATGATCCCTAACAAATGTACTATGTACACGTCGCAAAAATCGGCAAAAGGCGGGTAATTGCTTATAGACTCGTACCTGCTTCTCGGGTTTTGATAATTAAAAATAAAAATAAAATAGATCAGACTATCTCTTCCTGCAGATCGCCACTCCGAGTCCGGATTTTATCTAGAATGGTGCCATATTCCCCCGTGGAGAAAATGGAGAACTCCAGGTTGCGGCAGTGTACTCCGTACCGTCGGGTATATTTGTGAGTTCATTTTATTTTCTAAAAACTATACTGTAGGAGAACAGGGATTCGTGCGATTTCTTTCCAGATCCCCGTAACAGCTCAAAAGTACCAATTCGGTAGTCGGGCCGGCATAGGAATCTGGGCCCTGATTACTGTTATCTTTTGTCTTGCTTTTTCTCTGCTAAATGATCCTGATTTGCCAAGGGGATATTAGCCAATATCCCCGGAGAACTGTGGGGATCGGTTGAATTTGCTGTTCCGGGGGTAAAACTTCCGTTAAGATCGTTGTATACTTTACAGAGGATATACTGCGTATAACAAGATACCTTATAAGTAAGGTAGAGATGACCCTTATTTTACCTTGTGTGATAACGGAGTATTCTATCCCGGACCCCAAAGATAACGCGTATCCAAAGGGTAAATCGGACCCTCGGCGAGACGGCCTTGCCGAGTGGGCGTATCTTTGCCCGTCCCGTTTGTCCCGCACCTCGGCCCCTTTGGTTGCCCTCTTGAACCCGGGGGAACTTCGGGTGAAAGGTAATCTGTAAAACGTATCGTAGTTGCCTTCTACATACATAGTTTGTAAGTTAGTAGAATGAACGTGTGCCACAGATCGTTGATAGGAGAAGAAGGGGAAAAAAAAAAGTAAACATACATTATGCATATTTTATTATGATATATTTAATATTGTCCTGGGAACCGGGGCCCCAGACCCCCGGTTATTACCCTTAATGCGAGATTCAGCCGGCCAAGAAAAGGAAATCTACGCCCCCTGGTCACTTTCTATACTTGGGCGCCTTGGCAGTCGGGGATACCGCTGTCTTCTTGCGCAAGGAATGCAGCCAAGTGCTCATCTTGCAGGGGCTGACACTGGCACTTCTGGTCCCTTTGTCGAGATACGCGGCTTTGCGGCTGCATGGCAGGTGCATCAGGGTTATCAATAATTGGGCGATCCGCGCCTATCAGCGCTGTTAGTTTTATCGTTCCACAATCAATTATAGAGTTTGTTTTTCTTAAAAAAAATTAGGAAAATAGAAATTCATCATATCCTACCCCAAAATCCGGGGGATTATCGGCGAACTGAGTGGAGGATTCTAGGGTTTTGTACGGAGTACTTATAAATATATACCACGGAGGGTCCGGGGGGATGATTCCTCCGGATGATGAAGCCGCAGAGCAATTGGGGGTGACCCGAGTCATTTTCGTGGCCTCATATTTGCACTGGATGACCTGTTGATTGTGTTTTCGCGTGATTAAATGATTACCAAAAAATTAACCTTGTGAGATTTCACCTTCGACATCATCGATGATCCTCGCTATCGTCACTCCGTGACAGGATCAGATGGTCCCCAGGATCTCTATTGTACATGGGTCTGGACTGGTCCAGCCTAGAATGACCGTAACCCCCAGACTTTGACCCTTGTGGAGGTATCTCAAGAATAATGTGTACTGTACGGAGCAATGGGGTACATATATATAATTTTATAATATGTTGTATGGAGTGTTGGAGACCCCAGGTTCTGCTCGTCATCAGCTCTCCGCATGCCATCATTTTTTTAAATCATCCACTCTGTTTAGCTCGCCATCCGGAGATAGGCCAAATCAGAAGCCAGTAGAAAATCCCAAATTCCCCATGTTCTTGATAAGAAATTCTCCAGAGGCGCGATAGCCGGATAGGGACACGCACCACGCCACACGGTTCTTCAGGAAAAATGCGAGTCCCCACATTTTTGCTTTATGCAGTTATTTCTTTGATTCTTTTCTTTTTGGGACATTTTTGTAGGTATATGCTACATATTAGAGTGATTGAATACCTTGATATTTTAAGTAGTTCATTAGTCAATTCTATCTACTCTGTATATGTTGCAACTATATGAGGTTGGTCGGTGTAGATACCCCCACTCGAGTAAGGGTACGTCTTTTTTACTTTTCTTTTTTTTTGTTTTAATTTTCAATTTTCAATTTTTTTGAATTTCCCCTTTGGGAATTTTCAAATTTCAATTTTCTTTTCAAAAATTTCCCACTTTTCCTATTTTGCCCCAGTGTCCCCTTCTTCTCCCCCACACTTGGCCTTCCAACCTTGAGAGTCTCTTCAATTTTTATTTTTATTTTAATTTTTATTTCTAATTTTTTTAATTCAATTTGAATTTGAATTTTTGCTTTTTGAACTTGAATTTTTCAGAATTTTCTTTTCTCCAAGTCCGATTCCGACACTGCCCCTTCTCCCCCGATTTCTCCCTTCCCCCTCCATTCCCTATATTACTTGTGACTCCCCAGATCGTCGTCTCCAGGTTCCTTTTTCCTTCTTCCTTTCCTCTTGCTTTATTGCTCGCCCACGAACTCTACTCGATTACTTGTTTTTACAACAAAGTGAGCTATCAGCATTCTCTGCGCATCACTCCGATCCCGATCGACCTTCCATCCCAATCCGGGTGTTTGATCGACCTAAGCTCGGGATCCCTGCGATAAAACCGTACTCGGTCCTCCAGAACAAACCTTCATAAATCCACCCCGGGAAATTCACATGCCACCACCGGCTTCTTCAGTAGGATTTTCAAATCTACTTAATCCTCACGATACTTCGCCCGACTCAACACCCTCGACTCCAGGAGACGTTTCAATGGCTTCTTCAGTTAGCTTGCTACCGCCTCTCATGAAGGGTGTGCGCCCCGCGACCGAGGAGGTCCGCCAGGATCTGCCCCGGCCATACAAGTGTCCTCTTTGCGACCGTGCCTTCCACCGCTTGGAGCACCAGACGAGACACATCCGCACGCACACTGGCGAGAAGCCACACGCCTGCCAGTTCCCCGGTTGCACGAAGCGCTTCAGTCGATCTGACGAACTAACTCGCCACTCGCGCATCCACAACAACCCAAACTCGCGCCGTAGTAATAAGGCTCAACACCTGGCAGCAGCCGCAGCTGCTGCAGGCCAGGACACTGGAATGGTCAACGCTGCCAATATGATGCCACCTCCCAGCAAGCCCATCACTCGCTCCGCTCCAGTCTCGCAGGTCGGATCTCCGGATGTTTCTCCTCCTCACTCCTTCTCTAACTACGCCAACCACATGCGCTCAAATTTGGGTCCTTACTCCCGCACCACTGAGCGTGCTTCCTCCGGAATGGATATCAACCTTCTGGCTACAGCTGCGTCGCAAGTAGAGCGTGACGATCACATGGGCTTCCACGGCTCGCGAGGCCACCAGATTTTTGGCTCTCGTCATCACGGCACTAGCCGTGGCCTCCCTTCGCTCTCCGCGTATGCAATCTCGCAGAACATGACCCGTTCGCATTCAAACGATGACGATGATGGCTATGGGCACCGCGTCAAGCGCTCTCGTCCCAACTCACCCAACTCCACTGCTCCTTCCTCTCCTACTTTCTCTCACGATTCTCTGTCTCCTACTCCCGACCACACTCCCTTGGCCACCCCTGCACACTCGCCCCGTCTGCGCCCTCTCGGTGCCAGCGAGTTGCATCTGCCTTCAATCCGCCACCTGTCCCTCCAGCACACTCCTGCGCTGGCGCCTATGGAGCCGCAACCAGAAGGCCCCAATTATTACAGCCCGAACCAGGGCCACATGGGCCCAACCATTTCTGACATTATGTCTAAACCCGACGGCACGCAGCGCAAGTTGCCTGTGCCCCAGATTCCCAAGGTTGCGGTGCAGGACATGCTCAACCCCGCGGCCGGATTTTCTTCCATGAACTCGTCAGCCAGCAATTCCGTTGCTGGCGGTGACTTGGCAGACCGGTTCTAGCTCTCTTATTTGCAACCTCTTTATGCCTTGAAAACTTATGTTATGCGCGCCACGAAACGATATAGACTTGTGCATTTTTACTCTGGCTTGCGGGCATCAACGGTGTCGGATTGGTTTTGATTTTTTCTTATCACTGGCGCTTCCACCAAATAGACGGATTGGGATCTTTTTCTTTTATTTTTCACCTTTGGCTGTTAACTCCTCTCTGGAGACTTTTCCTTTTCAAGTTCAAAATTCCGTGTCGAAAGACCTGCTTCTACTCTTTTTATGTTATTCTCCTCTCTTGAGGCCTGTGGTCTCATTCACTTCTGATCGATCCCTGTTCCTTTACTTCTCTTCTCTTACTTAATTTCTCACACTGAGTAAAATCAAGAAATTTCACTCAACCCTTTTTTCCTTTGGAGACCTTAGCTTGATTTGCATGTGATATGATATTCCCCCGCAATCTGTATATTTGCACTTGGCCCTGGTTTGGCAGTATAATTGACTCGGTGCATCTACAACATACGCTGTATATCATACATAGCCTTTGGTCCTCGTATATTTCTTTGAGATATTGAATCTGAAACAGTGTTGCAACTCTATTCCATCTAAGAATAGGATCTCCTAACAAAAAAGATACATTCACATGTCAAGTGGAAGCACTTTGTCTAGAACACGCCCAGTGATCTAGATTCTCATTCACAACCCTGTTATTGCTATGTATGAAGAATCTATTGATGTAGGCCATGGAATCCCTGGAATCCTTGGGATGTCTGTTTTATATATTTTACTCCACAAACGGAGATTTCCCGATGTTTGTGTCATTTTAATTATCATTTTAATTAAGCTTACTCCACCAAGTTCACACTACGAACATGTTTTTAATACTCCGTACACAATTCTTCATTATATCCACAAATGACGAATAAAGGGTATTTATCAATCCATCATATTTCCAAGTATAAGTAGAGTCAAACTGCCCTTTCCAACGAAAACTAACCTGCAGATAACCGTGCCCGTGCATTGTATCCCAGACCATGCATCCTCAACAAAGAGAAGAAGTTCTTTTGAGAAAAGGAAATATACATAATTCCGGGTTAAAAGGTATAGTCTAATCCATATAAGTCCCTTATATAACCCAACTAGCCCCCAGTGCCCCGCCCTAAGATTTGAAGAAACGGAAAATTCCAAAAGTCCTAAACACCCCCACTTCCACCCATTCCTAGATGGCATAGCCTTACCTACATCGTATGCGCAGAACGGCCCATAGATGTCATGCATGCTGACAAAAAATTGCAGATCTGAAGGTGTGCAGTTGATCTGATATCGGACCGCTGGGGTGTATGTATTTCCCGCTCTATCCCGTTCCCCTCATCTGTATTACTTCCCTCTTTTTCTTTTCCTCCTATACCTATACCTCTACCAGGTGCTACTACTATTGCTATGTAAAAACTGCTGGGTAATCCGACTCTAACGCGATCCAGCCGTATCCATCCCGGGCAATAGACCTCCCCAATCTTTTGCATCGCGGAGCATGTCGGAGCGCAAGCCCACAAGCCCCGATGACCCTCGTCGAGGCGACATCGATCCGCCTCTCGTTTCACGCTCGAATAGAGACCGCCATAGAGGTCGAGACCATCGCCGATCGTCTTCTGCTCAAAGCGTCAGTATCAGCGTGAGTTCGACCTCCAGCAACAGCACGGCTTCCAGTAGGAACCCCGCCCTGTCCCAAAAGCATCCCAACAAGAAAAAGCACCCGGGCGTCGTCGTGACCACCATGTCGTCTTCGCCTGTCATGCCGGAGTTGTCTAGCGCATCGCCTTCGCCGTCGATCTCATCAGTCGACACCAGACCCGGTACCGGTGTTGAATCAGCATATGGAGATAGAAACACAGATGGGATTTACGCTCTCGGCGATATGGCGCCGTTAATAACCACCGACAGTGTTCAAGAGCCTGCTCTATCGCGCGCCTCGATCTCGTCCTGGGGCACAACCGCAGCAGCCTCTACATCATCCGCGACGCCATCAATACCCATATCTCTAACAGCTAGCACGGAGCAGCGCACATACGCATGCCTCTTCCACATGCTGGACTGCCATGACTCCTTTGACGACGGGGCAGAGTGGCGCACTCACGTCTTCAGCCACTTTCGCTCGCATCCGACACCGCCGTCAGCGCGGTGTCCGCTGTGTCCGAATACAAAGTTTGTCGACGGCATCTCGGACCCCGTGTCGTCGCCTGTTCTCGAGGACGGCGAGTATGCCCGCTCTATCGATGATGCCGTTCGAGCTCCGCTGAGAGACTTCCCCTCTGCATGGGATCGCATGCTCGATCATGTTGCTGCGGATCACTATTGTCTTGGCCAGACGCTTGCTGGGAGTCGGCCGGATTTTGAGCTTATGCGATATCTTTATGGAATGCGGGTTATCACGGATGCGCAGTTTAAGGCTATGCAGTTGCCACCAGCGCCGTCGAGCCCGGCTTATCATCGCTCGCAGGATGGTGTTAGGGCTAGTATTGGCTCTGCCGATGAGCCGTACTGTGCGCCGTATAGTAAGCGGCGGGAGGAGAGGATGAGGGGGCAGCAGAGGGGTCTCGGGGTTTTGTAGATATAGACACTTCTCTGTTGGCTTCTGGTTTGAGGTTTTGGTTTTTGGTTCTGGATATTCCCCCTTTCGCTTCTGTATAGCATGTACTTTTCTTGAGACCTTTTAGAAAGCGAGTGTATTTTTTCCTCCATAGAGTATCTGTGTCTCTTCTGAGAGAAGAATATCAAAAACCAAAATGTATAGATCGACCCCGAGCAAACAAGACAAACTCACCGCCCTTGATGACGGCCTTTGCGACCTCGATCCTCCATCGCGATGATCGAAAGAAATAGAATGAGAACGTCCACATCAAATTCCTGAATCTCTCTGCATCAGCGTCTTCCCGCCCACGACCCCCTACCTACCCCTCCCCACCGCTTTCCGATTTTCTCTCCGCCAATCCAACAGCCACAGACACCACACCATGGAGCGCCTATCTCTAAACGAAAGCCCTGCCCCGGCCCCTCGAACCCCGCAGCAAAACCAACAATTCGCCCAGAATGCCCTTGGCCCAGCAGGCCCCCAGCCAACAGGTGGCCCACCGCAATTACCCCCGCAGATGTTCACGACCGCCGCACAACTGCTCGACCTAACAGATAGTATGTCCAGACAGACGCGCTCAAAGCGACCCAATAGCAGAAAGAACAAGAGAGTGTTAAAGCGAGGAGAACAAAGCTGACGCAATCGCAGAGAAACTTGTTCTCATCCTCCGCGACGGCCGCAAACTCATCGGTGTCCTCCGAAGCTGGGACCAGTTCGGTATGCTAGTCGCACCATCCTCAACCCCAAGCTCTCGTCCTTTATCTGATATTCAATCCCCGCAGCAAACCTTGTTTTCCAGGATACCGTAGAGCGCGTTTACGCGGGACAGTTGTTCGCCGATGTCTCGCGCGGGATCTTCATCGTTCGTGGAGAGAATGTGCTCCTACTAGGCGAAGTGGTATGATCAATTCCTTAATCCACAGTCCTCAATTCCTCAATCTCCTGCTGCAATTTACGGGATTTGCTTTGTGCAAACCAACAATGTACCCCGGCAAGGAACCCCGCTTACATATTTGATACGCAGGACCTCGACCGCGAAGACGATATCCCACCCACGCTGACCAGAGCCCCATTCGAGGAAGTCTTCGAGCTGAAGAAGAAGGAAGACGCGAAGCGGAAAACGGGCGATAAGAAGCGTTACGATGAGCTGCAGGCGCTCGGTTTCGAGCCAGAGCACAGTGGGGAGATTCTGTTCTAATTATTATCATCCACCTGCTTGTTGTGTGTTTAGTCTGTTGGGGTCAGTGCATGCTATACTAGACTTTGCTGTCTGACCTGTATGCTCTGTCGACTTATCGCTTGCTCTATTCCCGGGGTCGGGTATTTGATATTTTTGATACCTGCATTGAAGACTGAGTGTTGAAAAGGAACGAAGGGGCGTCAGTACAAACCGGTCGATAACCTCCCGATGAGCGACGGAGTCGATTTCTGCGCCGTGGCGGATTGTGATTTGTTTGAAATTGCATCGGTGATGGAGTTTTGGCTGGATTCGGATGCTCGACGGAGCGGTGGGCTACTACTGTCCTGCTGTATACTACGAGGGAGCTGTCGATGCTATGACCTTTGATGGATGCTATGCCGTCTAGTCTTGAGCTCGCGAGCCTTTTTGTTTTTTGTCCCTTTTGCGTCGCACTCTACATCTACTTCTCTGGGCGAGCGATGGGGGCTGTGGGAAATGCTGCTGAGCTGCCTGGTTGGCTGGCTCGCGTTCATGAAGTTCTGATTGATATGTTCGATACACTTTTTTTTTGCATGATAAACTGCTTTGCAAATGAGAATATGAAAAAATCACACTGCATTTGGGATTTCGGGTGTTTAGTGGTAGTCGAGGTATACTTGACCAGTAGCATTTCATCAGCGCCATGGGATATCGGATAATTTGCTTATTGGATAGAAATGTGATGCAGCGAGAACTGTGCTTCCAAATACAAATTGCTGCTCATCCTATGGATATGCACAGCTTGTGCGCTACATGTACGTAGATATTACACAGACGAGAATAAAACAATATCTATGTCCATTGACCTAATAGAAACTTTTGAACAGAATCGTAATCATATCATGAAAAACACGGAGTCGAATAACTCTGCATCGAAACAGAAAAAAGCCCAGAGTCAACGGAATCACCACAGCGGAGGGTATTATGAGAACGTCAACACTAACCAAGCACGACAGGGACCGAAGACCAGATGGCAGAAACAAAAGAAATAAGAAATCAAAAACAGGGAACTCAGAACAATAACTCCGGGATCTGCTAGATGCCACCCTCCTTCTCTCTCCAGCTCAGTACCCAAGCCCCGACAGACAAGGCGAAAAAGAGATATGACTTACTTGTAAAGTAAACAGTTTATCTCTTCTTGCCCCATCCCGAGCGGTTACCACCCCGAGGAGCGTTGCCAGGATTGCGACGCTTCTCAATGCGACCACCGCCAGGAGCGCCAGAAGTCTTGGGAGCACCAAGACCACGACGACCAGAGCTCTGACCGGATCCAGAAGCGCGCAGGTCCTGCTTCAGATCATCCTCATCGACATCCATGCTGTCGCCAGCATTCTTCTTCGAAGACTGGCCCATCTTCACCTTACCTCTCTGGCCACGACGGACAGCGTCGGGTCCACTAACAGCAGCGAGGTAGGCGTTAACACCGCCGTCGCCAGCACCGGACATCTCGACGTCGTCAGCGACGACATCGCCATCTTCGCCAAGGACAAGACGACCATCAGCATCGACCTTAGCGGAGCGCTGCTTCTTCTTCGAGCCGGGGCCTGTGTTGAGGAAGCGTTGGCTGGGCTTGGTGGTGGAGATGCTGGCCAGGGCGTTGGAGCCGAGCAGATCGAGGGGATTGTCTTCGGGGGACATCTCACGGATGTACTGGGTGCTTTGGCCTGCCTTCTTCTTAGAGTTGCGGCCCTTGATTTGAGCGACGTTGTCGACGTCAACATCACTGTCGCCGTCGTCTGAGTTGTCAGAGGAGTCGGAGTCAGAGCCGTAAACGGCCTTGTCGAAGGCGTTGCCGGATTGGGGCTTGGAGGCCTTCTCCTCTTCGTCTTCGTCTTCGCCTTCAGCACCCTCCTTCTTCTTGCGCTTGCTGCGCTCACGGGCTTTGCGGATGTTGACGATAAGCTTGCGGTCTTCCTCGCCGACAATTGCCTCCAGGAGGGGAGCACCGAATCGGCGCACAAGTCGGTCGATGATGCCCTTCACCTTGCTGCGGAGACGGCCCTTGTGCTCCTTGTTCCAGGCCATGAGGCTGGGAACCATGGTGTTCAGACGGGGGCGCAGGGTTTCGTCAGGGAGAACGACGACTGCAACCTTGACGAAGCCAAGGACAGAGCGGACGATCTCACGGTTGTTGGAGGTAAGGAAGAGCTCAACGGTCTCGACGAGTTCCTTGAGCATCTCAGGCTGAAGTTGTGTCTGGAAGTCGAAAAACAGACGCGAAAGCGCGGTGACAGTGGCGCCCACCATGTGAGGAGCTGAGCCAGCCAGACCAGCTGAGACCATGGTGAAGAACTCCTCGAGGGTAGCGGGGGCATCGGGGAGATCATCTGCCACGCCTGGAACAAGCGATCTGCGGATGACAGTGCCGGGAGGGTTACGCTCTGAATCGGTTGTACGCTTGGCCAAGAGAATCAGCAGGTCAAAGGCCGCTGTGCGTGCCTTCTCGTTGCTCTCTTTGCAGCCTAGAACCACCTCGGACAGGATTGCCGGGATGAAGTGCAGATCCGAGGTGGGCAGGTGGTTAATCATCTCGGTAATAGCGAGCATACGATCGCGGCGGCCAGACGCAGGGGTGGTATCTGTGGTGGCAAGCATGAGAGCCTGCAACTCTCCACTACGCTCCTGGAGGGCGGCGCGGCCAGTTTCGGTTGTTCCGAGACGAGGAATCAACTTGTAGGCCTTCTTGATGAGTTGCTGATCCGGGTTGGGGGATGAGCTGTTGAGGATAGCTGCCGCCATGGCAAACAAGCCACTGAAGCTGGAGCGAGGGAGGTAGATTGACATAGCGATGACAAGGTCAATCAGGGTGTGGGAGGTCGGTGGCATCTTGTCGGACGGGTTTTGAGCCTGAGCACTCTGCTTGGTTGCTGTCTCTTGCTCAGTGACCAGAGAAGACTCAAGCATTGAAGTAACGCGGTTGAAAGTGTCATTCAGCTCCTATGAAGGGTGTCAGTCGGTGTTGATTTGTATACAAAACTGAGGAGGGAAACTTACATTTTCAGGGGTAATGCTCAAGTAGGCATTGATACACTGTAGGATGTAGCCGCGGTAATGGGGCAGGGTCTGGCTGTAGACGTTGAACAACACAGCCAGCAGATTGCTCGCAAGACTGCCGAGATGAGTGAGGTTCTTCTGCGCAGCGACCTTGGTGATACGTCGTTGCAAAATCAGATCATCCTCATCGTTTTCGACGGACAAGATAGCCTGGTTAGACTCAACCAGGTTCTGCAAAGCACGGCAAACATCGACACGCAATTCGGTCTGCTTGTAGAGAACGTTAGACAGAAGCTCAGCGAATGTCTGGTCAAATGCCTCCTCAAGATCAAGCGGCAGCTCGCAGTAGCCGGGAAGGGTACCCCAGGTTTGTTGGACGAGAGTTTCGAAGATCTTCACTTCCACGGACTTCTCAGCGGCACCGAAGTTGACCACCTTCTGGTATAGTGCCTCACTCAGGGGAACGAGTTCGGTACGGAAGTGGCGGAGGTTCGTGTTGGTCACGCTGTCGCGCATAATGGGCAGCATCCAGACACGACCAGGCTGACCAGCCTTCTGTTCGATAATGTTGAGGGGAAGGATCTCCAATACTGCCTCGGGGCCCATGGCCTCAATGGCGCTAGCGAGAACGGCATCGGCTTCCTTCTTGCCGTGGAAGCCGCCATTGCTGCGCAGTTCACCGATTGTGGAGACAATCTTGACGAGATACGGGCTTGATCGCCACTTGAAGCAATCGAACAGGGCAGAGCAAACATTGAACACCTCTTTCCAAGCAGCCTGATACTTCACAGACAAAAGGTCAACGGCTGCACGAGACAACTTCTCCAAGGTCTTCTCATCATAGACAGATGGCTCCACAATAACACTGTTGGGGATACAATTGTGTAGGAATGAGATCAGACACTCAGATGCGGAAACACGGATGTTGCTGGAAGGGGAAGCCATGAAGCCAGAAATCAAGGTGAACAGATCCGGCAACTTCTCGAAAGTATCCTCGGGGGTGATTTGCGCAGCTACATCGTAACCGCGAGAGAGCACTGCAATCCAAGGTGGGAGAAGCTGGGAGTCATTCTGCGCAGGCTTGAGTTCGGAGATAGCATCCAAAAGACGGGGCAGCTTTGAAGACGAGAACTCATCAGCCATTCCTTCGAAAATGACCTCAAATACCTCGAAGGCACCCATGGTGATGTACTCGTTGCTAGAGCGGGAAGCGTTCATCAGGAGTTCGCTGAGTGGTTCGATCTTCTTGCTGGGCCAGCCACCTGACGCCGAGGCGATGGTCTTGATCAGCTGCAACGAGTGAATGATAAGGGGCTCGTGGCTGTTAGCCTGAGCATCGTGACGACCCTTCTTTTGCTTGTGAGCGGCTGTGATGCTATCGCCCAGAGTCTTCATCGCAGACTGAGCGCACATATCCGCACCTGGGTGGTCCAGAGACGGGCTTGGCGGGGGCGCCTTGAGAACTTTGACAAGAGCCTCCTGGGCACGCTTCCGCACCTTGGGACGGTGGTCAACGGAGAGACTCAGCAGACCTGCCATTGCGCGTCGCGGGCCGACCTGTGTGTGGGGGAGATTCCATGATGCAGCGTCCTGGGCAATGAGAAGAGACTCAAGACAGCCAATGGAAGGACGCAGGAGCGGGGCTTCGACCTCAGGGAGAGAAAGTGCGGGTGCAAGACCTTCGAGGATCTGGGAAAATTTGGAGCAAAGGATCGGAGCGGGGACGTAAACGGTTGTGATGTCGAGAAGGTAGACAACGGATGTCGCTAAGTCCTTGTTGACAATGCCCTGGGATGCGGACAGCGACTGCGAGAGCAGTGCAAGGAGAGCGGCAAAGTATGCGGTAGGTGAGAAATCTGCCTTTTGATCACGGAGAGTATCCTCAACTGCAGAGAGCACCACAGCGGTCTGTTCATGGATCCGTTAGTGTCGATTGATTGGGTGTGCAGCAGGAAAACTTACGTGATGCTGGTTCTGCAGCTTGGGAGACTTAATCTTCTCAAGCTTCTCCGCCAGAGTCGCCATGATGATTGAGGACGACGAGGTGGAGAAGATTCAAAGAAAGCAATGTATTGGGATGAGAAAGAGGGCTGTTTGGCGGTGATAAAAATCGTAAAGGAAAAAAAGTAAAGTCCGGCAAATTTGGAGGCGGTCAGACAGGCGGCGGGGCGGTGCTCTGACTAAGATTGTTTTCTCTTCTCAATTTTGTTCACAATCGATAATCAGAAACTACTTGTTGAAGATATTAATTTCTTCTTAATACATATAGCTGACTTATGAGCAATGTCAGATGAAGGGGGTTTATTTAGGTTGGTGTTAGTCTGGTGATGTCTTCCGCTTGCTTTAAATTGATTCGATCCTTTCCTGGTCCTAAGTGGCCATTTTCATCAGAGTCATGTCTGATAGAATTTAAAGATTAGTAGCCGACTAGATACTTCCAGACAGGTTTTATAGGTAATCATAGTATTTTTGCGAAGTCTTTGAGTGCATAGCATTTTGCTATCTCAGATAACAGAAGCTCTAAGATCACACTACCTAGGTATGACCACTGGGAACCATCAGATTCTACGCAAATAATGTGAAAGAAATGAAAATATCGTGAATTGGATAATAATGCTTGGGGTGAACAATGTGACTTGCAGATATTGCAGATCGCATAATTCCTTGCAGTGAACGCTCCTTGAAGATGATCACAGATGTGCCGCTTCAGCAATGATTGCCTCCCGCACCGCGTTTTGGAAGCTCTCGCCATCTGGTTGCCATCCTAATAACTTTCTTCCGCGCGAAGCCTGACCTTGGCCATTGGTACCCAGAAACGCACTTCCATAGGGTATCACTACATTGGCCTCATCAAGATTCATAGATTTCACCGCATCAGGTGAATCAATGTAACCGAGGCTATGCGCCTCTTTGGCGATTAGTAAAGCGATTTCCTTGAAGCTCTGACAGAAAGAAGGAAGGTTAGTGTGAATAAACTGAGATATGTGAGGTCATGAACCGACCTCGAAGCCATTTTCAGCAAAGAAAAGGCCATTTTCATTCCAGATAAGACCGGGCGTTGCGTTGACAGCATGCTCCACCAATTTGACAAAAAGGTTAGCCAAATCAGAGACATGAATAATGCCCCATCGACTTAATCCCCTGCCCAGATATAGACCAACGCGTTGAAGCAGAGCGGCCCGGGCCAAGGCGGGAACCTGGATGCTGCGTTGATTCACAGGACCTTTACCAGTGCCAAATATGATAGGAGGCAAGACGATGGCGGTTTTGGGACCACCTGATCCCAAGTCAAGAATGTAGTTATCCACCACCCGACGATCTTTGTACGCTCGAATTATGTCCCGGAGCTCAGCAACGCTATCCAAATCATCAAAGATTTGATCCGAGGGCTCGCCATATGAGTTGTTATCAACCTCGGGGCCTGCCAGAACGCTAACCCCGGTAACTTGAATGTAATAGGCTGCAGTTTTGCTTTAATTAGCGATCAACCCCGAAATAAGATATTGCAGTAGTGGATGGTGTACCATTTTGACGCCCCGCCAGGCCCTTTGCGATCGCTTTTACGCTTTCGAGATGTTTGTTACTAGCAGCATCTAAATGAAGAAAGTTAGTAATAGGTTATGCGACCAGATGTAAATTGACTCACGGATAACAATATCGGCTTTGCGCGATTCTTCTTCAATAACTTCGATATTGTCCAAATCCGCAAGGACTACACGGACCTTGGGAAATGCAGCTAAAACCTTGCTGGCCTTTCCATTATCTCTGATCAAGGCGGCAACCTTATAATCGGGATGAGCAAGCTGCAAAGCGTGGAGGACTTCGCCCCCAATATAGCCCGTGGCACCAGTACTAGAATTTGGGCCACGAGTTAGCAAACAAGGATCACTTTTTATGAATAAATGGAAAGCCACTTACAGGAAGATTTGTGTCATTTTTGAAATTGAAATTGAGGTTGTTGGAATGTTTCAAATTGGACAGAGAGGAGGGCTCGGAATCTATTATACATCCCTGCGCACCAGGATAGGAAGGTGATTCCGTGGAGAGACTGCGGGGTCAACAGCTGATTTTTTGGGTTTATCACGACATGTTATCTTGTTTTTCTCTTCTTTTCTTATACTTCATTTTATATTTTCTTTCTCTTCTAGTCGAAAGAGTGAAAGCAATTGGTCTACATCGCAGACTGTGGAAATATACTGCAACAATTCATGTCGGGCAGAAGTTAATACGCTCCAGTCCACCTATTTAGGCAATCACCATGTGAATCAGCCCTGGAGGAGCCCACATCTTATCAAAACTCGAATTGTGAAAGTTGGTCAGATGTAGCCAACCAAAAGCCTCAAAATGCCAAGGCCCAAGTTTCAGGCAACAGTGTGGATGCCTAGGCTAATCCTTTTCGGGAGAGAAAAAGCAGTAGTTTAAATAAACCTCCATTTCCACATTGACAGAGTATTAGCAGAAATCATGTCATTTCTCAGTTTACCCCTCGAGATTCATCAGCGGGTCATTTCATGCCTTCTTTCCAACCGTGACGTGGCCGCTCTATCAGTACAATGTCGAACTCTCCACTCCCTTTGTGACATGGAAACCCGCAAGAAGTATCACCGAATTAGTGTCTCCTCATGTGAAGAAGCTATCGACAAGCCATTTGCCTTGCTTATGGATATTTTGAAACGACCTAACTTGGGTAATTACGTGCGCCATATCGAATGTCGCACAGCAACATCCAGGCATATGGACTATAAGCAAGTCAATTCTCAACGGGATTTGAGCAATGAGGAGATGACTCTCGTACGAGAAGCGGTCAAAAAGGGTGGTTTTACAGGACCCCAAGAGGATCGAGTGGTCAATATGCTTATGCAGAGGATGGAAAAAACGGCAACGTTCAGCAGCTATCTGTGAGAATTTCATTTGATCCTGGTCTCTGAGCAACTGTCTAACCTGACAAAAAGTCACCGAGAGAGCCTCGGAACGTTCATCACCCAAGCCTTGACCGCAATTCTGATTGTGGTATCGCCGAATGTTGTGTCAATGGCCTTGACAGATCCCTCTGGCATGAGTTGCAACCATGCAATCGACTTCCCGCTTGCGCAACTCCTTCGGCAAGCTAACGCCAGTCCCGAAAACAAGTCATATCTTCGCAACCTCCGCGATGTTTATGTGATCAACAAAAACGATAGTACCTGGTCCGATGGCCGTTTCTATGTTCCAATGGACTTTTCTGGTTGCTTGAGGCTATTTGACAATCTCCAGTCAATTGAATCTGTCCGTGTTGATATAATGGAAGAGGATCCGAACGGAAATGTCGAATTCAAAGAGAAATGCTCCAATATTAGCAAGATCTCCATCCACAATTCGTCAGTTGATTCTCTCTACCTTGCGAATCTGATATGGTCGTGCAAGATTCTCAAGGAATTTCAGTATTCTATTGGGGGTAGAGCAAGCAATGACGGGGGTTTTGCTATGTTCAACCCTAAAGCATTCATCAAAGTGCTTTGCGCGCACAAGAAAACACTGGAAATTCTCGATGTCGACGCAGAAAATGAAATATATATATTCGAAGTTGCTGACGAGGAAGAGAGAGATGACCAATTCAACCAATACGGGAGCCCCTTTGAATCTGGCATCAGTGACGAGACATGTAAATTCTACAAATCGATATGGACATACAATGGGTCACTGAAAGAATTTGTGGCCTTGAAGCGGTTGAGCTTGGGGATAAACTTTCTGTTATACCTTGCAGCTGGTGTTAGCGGAGAACCCTACGAGAAGAGGGAAAAGTTGGATCTGGTAGACTGTCTACCAGTTGGGCTAGAGTACTTGTGTGTTCGGGGATACCAGAAGGGCCAGAAAGAGGAGCACGATGAGCAGATGGATGCATTGATGACATTTTACAAGTCGGGGGCATCCCAACTAAAAGAGGTCAAGGGAATCGATGAATTTATTCCCAATGCCGAGGTGGTTAAGGATCCAGATAATGACGATCATTTGTTGTGGTCGTTGGAGGAGATTGGGTATGAGAGTGACTAGAAGGTTGTATCTAATATAACACACCAGGGTATTGACGAGACTGGTTTCCAGTGCATGTACGGATCTCAGCTATAGAGAGCATCGAAGCTTTGGCCGGAACCCTTTCTGGCCTATGGCTCATCAATCTTCCGATTCTAACTCACTGCTTCAAGACCAACTTGCCAGTGAGAAGAAATATACCTACAGACTTGGCGGTAGGTACGTTGTATTTAGCATCCTTCTCCTTGCTTTGACTCTGTTTCGTTTTTGTCGCGAAAAACAGGACGAAATTTGGCATACCACTACGTAAATGGGGAGCGTTTAAAGCCTGTGTCTCATTGGATGATGCGGAGATCTTCAACAACAAGGATGCACTTTGACACGAGAACTTGCATGATATAGTAGCTAGTGATTCATGGTGGTACCCCCCCCCCCGGCGCCACCCGCTGCCGACACAGAACGGGACCCACATCCACTTATATTAGCATCTACTAGTGCGCTCGAAGGGCCATTAGCGCGCGAAGGAGAGCTGACCCCGAACCTTTTGAAGATTTTTGCGGTCGTGTCCCCAGTCCTGTCTTGGAGTAAGCTGACTGTTCGCTCTCTTGAACTTTGTGGACTTTCCACCTGAACGGGTATGAGGCTCCCCTTACAACAGTTATCCCTCAGGTGGTGTTTCTCGGGATAATTTTCCAACAGGGCATCCATCTCCTTACCTAGATGGGATAGCATCCATGTTGCAATTTTGCAAGATCAGAAACATTTATTAGAAAGCAACAATGATTGGCGGATTGGTGAGTAGAATGTCCTATAATATAGGAGCTGAGAGAAGACTGACCGACCAGACTATTGCCAGTGAAACTAAAACATATCCACCTTGACTAATTTAGGCAAATTCCATGACAGAATTGAGACGAATTTTGGAGAGCAGTGTGCAAATGTCGAACATGTCCAGAGGTGTATAGAGGTTCTCGAACATATTCGGGAAGATCTCAGCAAGATCCTAAACAATAAGAAGAGGCATTAGAACCTCGAATTCAGCGACAGCGAGAAGCAGCGTGTCTGCTACGCTTTCCGAGTTGTGAATCTATCTAAATTCCATCATGCCTTTATAATTGGTACTAATTTCTAATAGTACACCTAGGGCTCTTAGAAACTCCTGGGCCTAGTCCATTCTCAGCTACCGTTGCTTAGCTTTACCCCAGACTGAAGAAAGTTTCTAATCCTCTTGCTATTGGTATCCTTGATGCCGTCCCATTATGTGTCCAAGAAGCTACCAGCAACAAGAAGTCCCTGGACCAGAAGCTCACGGAGGCTCAGGCCTCGAACCAGTAGGACTAGATATGTTGATATGGCACGGTTGTTGATGCCTTTGATGAAACTATACTAAATTCTTGAATTTTTATACTATACTTTGAATGTTCTAATACGTGGACAGCGTAGCCCTTCATAATATATAATTTCACATGGCTAAACTCAAGTTTATTTGAGTGCGAACTATTACTATTAGGTACATCATCTTCATCTTTGATAACTTTTTATTCAAATGGCATCTGAATGTGGTCTATGCACTAGACCACCAAGGAAATAATGTGTCGCTCGTTTTCCAATATTGGGAGTTGTTAAAGCTGATAGTCAGAATTTTAGCCTCAGGCTAGATTGCTGCCTAAACTGGACATCTTCTCGTCTCTTCGACACGTCCCCCTTTTTGTTTTTCTTTTTGTTTTTTCCTTCGGTAACATATTGTGCTTGTTATTTCGATATCGCTATCCCATCATGAGAGAACTGCAACTTAATTGGCCAGACAAGGTCTTATCATACAGCGCCTGGATGACGGGATCGGTGCAAAATCATCGAGGCGCGGGGTGCGATGAAAAAAGAAAAGAGAAGAGAAGCTCGGGCCATAGGGAGCGAATCCTCTTTGGTCAGATTTCGATTTTCCCAACTAATGGAAACCACAGCCTCAGTTGATATCTGTCAGACCAATTAGAGGGAGTCGGGGCTCTTTTTCACGTAAGCTGTTTTCAAGGCATCCGAACAAGCCCTGAAGGTGCGCATCCAGTCACATCTCAAGAATGCAAATTTTCCATATCGTGCCTGCGCCACTGCTTGAGCTGCACCATCTGAAAATTTCTGCTAAGATCGCCAATCACGGTGACGTGTGGCGCTGGGGTACGCTGGGATGTATGAAAAATCTGCCAAAATGCTCCCAAGGCACCCAGGTAGCTAGGTCATCGCAAACCCTTCAGTATATAAGTGTAGATCCCCAGGGGCTTCCCCGCATTTCTGTGTAGGTCGCTCTCATCATTTTCGTTCTACATGATACTTGTTAAGCTTGGTCTCCTCCGTTCTTGCGAACTACGATCTACAGCATGACAGAACCAGTCGAGCATGGCTTGTCATACCTCGACCAAGAGGGAGGGGTTCAGTGGAACGAAAGTGACCCCCCGCTCTCCTACATGTTCGCTGACCACTGGTCCCCTCTTGCCGATGATTTTCCATATGACCATTTTCTCGAATCCCCCTCCGCTCCCCTCACTCTTGACGAAGCGGCTTCCACCTCTCTCGGCGCTCTCCACAAGATTACCGATGCTCAATACGACAAGGGCTCCCCGAACGAAGACGGCGCTGCTGCTGCCGATACTCCGAGCCTTGACCCCCATGACGGGATGTCTGACATCACCTCTACAATAATTTCCACTGCGGACGAAGAACAAGGCTCGACTGCCGCAAATGATAGTATCCAGAGGCCTGCCTCTTATGGCAAAGTCCCGATGGGCGTTAAGTATGTTCCTTTTGGAATAACTCTCTGCTCTGTAATATCCGTTTTAGATGCGGGCTCTAACATTCATATGATACAGATCTAGCCGTGGCAGTCCACTAAAGTGCAAATGGAAGCACTGCGAATACTCGGGTGGATTTTCTCAGATGGGAGCCCTGCTACGCCATATCAAAACAAAGCACATCTCACCGGGTTTGTATGAATGTCCCGAGGGCGAGTGCCGGAAGTCGTTCAACCGAAAGGACAACTTGGTTGCGCATATCCGGAATGTTCACCGCGAGACCGTTTGATTCTTATTTGGAACTGGTTCTTCCGAAAGTGAGTATCGGAGTTATGGCTGGAGCGATGGTGTATGGTTATCGAAAAGTTACGCTTGTTTCTCAGTTTTTGTCACAATACAAAAGTCTTCACTTGTTTTAATATTCAGAAAACATTATCAAAGTTAGGTTGAGTAAAAGAAAGTAGACATGATAAGTTCAAATATTTGATATGCAGGGATTTTATAGGACACTCAGGATGCGTAACACTGTTACACAAGAAAGTAGAACCAAGAAAATCAACATGGCCCAGATATAGAGTTTTCTAGTGGGAGTGCCATTTCTTTACTTGAGGGTTGCGATCAAAAGTTCTGTCAGTAGTGTAGATTCAGGTCCTTCGCATCCTGGGCCGAAGAAGGAATGACCTTGTCTAGACTTGCGGACAATATATGACGGCGGTGATAAAGGGCAAGAAAACAGTGGACTCAAGGAAGCTACTGGATAGAGAGTAGACCTCCGCAAAGCTCATAAAAGGCCCCGGGGCTCGGGCCCACTGCCCATCGGTGGGCCTAGGGAGTGGGCCCCAAAGCTAGCCCATCGGTGGGTTAGGGCGGGTTAGGCTTTGGGCTTAGTGGGGTTTGCGTAGGTTTAATAGAGAGAGACAAAGGCAAGGGAAGTCAATAGAGGAAGGAGCAATGGACGTCCTATCTGCCTAAGGTCAGTCTGAATAAGATCAATGCCGCATCGTAGAATTGCCTCATTCTTTGGAGAGACGTAGGGAATTTCTGGTAACTTTGTGCGGTTTCCGTATTATCTGATGGTTCTACCATATGCAACGGATAATGTACCGCATTCTAGCTTCTTTTAATTGATAATGCTTCATCATGCACACGAGAGTATTGACATGACTATATCCAGCAGGATAGTAAAGGAAGGCACAACGCTACTTTGAAGCATATGTATCCGAATTTCCCATCTCTTTTGACAGCTCTGAGCTGATGTATTATTTTCTTTCATCTAGTCAATTCTAACTTGACTCTGCAACACTTCACACCTCCAATCTAAGAAAGGGCATATTAGTTTCCTTATTCCCCCCTGAGCCCCTTGCTATATATTCGTCCATCTAGAACAGAACCTTGGAAAGATCCTTGTTATTGTGAACCTTGATGTTCCTCATCATAAGAACCCAGGCAATTGACAGTCCCATCACTGCGGTACCGGCAATCATCATGTTTCGCTGACTGAATGCATACGCATCCTGGATGGCAATACGAGCAGGCGTACCAACTGCATAACTGAGCTGGACGTCCAACGACTCGTAGATGTCCTCCCACTGGTCCTTCAATTCGGCTGGCAGATTGGCACGTAGCTTGACGGGAAGCGTGTTTGTCCAGATAGCGCCAGAGACACTGCTGCCCACTGCACCACCAAGGTATCCAAACGTGCTGAGAAGGGCCAACATGGCGGCATAGTCTTCATGCGAGGCCGCAGCAAGAACAGCAACTTGCTCGATCAGAATAAATGTTCCACCACCCACTGCGAGGAAGATCTGGCACATGCACATATATCCAATGTTGTGACCCGGTTGACGGAAGTAGATCATCAGACCGCTTGCCAGGAGGTAAAGAGGCACAGCGGCACAGAGAAGCCACTTGAAGCGACCAGTTGCTCTGATGAGGAAGCCACAGCCAATAAGCCAAATTGGGTCCATGAAATCAAAGATGGCGCTGATGTAACCGGCCTGCGTCAGGCTTGTGTTATAAACGACTTGGAGGTAGGAGGTGAAATAGCTAGCCCAGCAGTAATAAGAAATCTGGTAGGTAATATCCAGCAGACAAGCGCCAATGACAGTGCGGTCGGTGATGAGGTGGAAGGGGATGAAAGGCTTCGGGGCCAGCCATCGCTCGTAACTGACAAATGCCACGAGAACACAGAATCCCACAACCATCATCGCAATGATCTTGGCCGATCGCCATTGGCCTTCGGTGTTGCCGGCGATATTGAAAGATGTCAGGAAAAGAATCGTGCCGCCTATCATCAGGAAAATTCCGATAACTGTGTGTCGCAAAAAGGGGTGAGTAAAAATGTCAGAAATTGGATTTGAGAGCTTTACTGACCATCGAATTCTATGACGTAGAACCAGATGGTTTCTCCCCAGGTTCGTGTTGACCTCTCCTTATATTGTAAATGACCGTTCTTGTCGGCCTTTCGCTTGGCCATTTCCCAGGTCACAATCAAAGGAAGCGCAGCGATAGGGAGGATGATGCAAATTGTTCCGTACGCCCATCGCCAGTTGGTTTCGTGGAATTGATTTGACAAAGGGGAGCCGGCAAAGGCAGTGATCATGCTAGGAGAGGAGGTGAGAGCATAAGCAAGACCTCGATCACGAAGCGATGAGGTGTCTGAGGTTATCACATCAATGCAGAAAATGGCACCGGTAAATCCAACAGTATAAAATGCCTGTTGATTGATTAGCGATTTCGACACAGGGCTGTGGAGGGCATGGGTGATATAGAGACGTACCTGTGCAGCACAGTAGGTCGTAATATTGTTACAAGCAGCCATCATGATCAAACCCATAATTGCAATCGCAAGCATGAGCACGAATCCAACAGTTCGATCAAAAAGATTCAGGACTTTAGCGACGGGCATCAAACACGCAGCACCCATAACGCTAGTAATCACTGAAATCACGGTCAACAGCGAGTGTTCCGAAAAGTCACTCGTAATGTAAGCAGAGAGGTTTGAGGTGAGACTGCTGTTGAGATTGTTGACAAAATACACCAGCCACATACTATGTTCGCATTAAACCTCACATTCAGGAAAGAGGACTTCTCCCAGGGTTACTCACCTAGTATAGGCAATGATCAGATGCTTGCGAGTCCACGTAGTTGTGACTGCGTCGGCGATTTGAACACCATCTTGCTGAATCTCCTCTGGTATCTCTGAGTCCTTGAGGTTCAAGGACTGCGGGCGCTCCACGGTGGCCCCTTTGATGGTGTCTGTATCCATGGAGGGTAGAGAAGTCTGGGATCAATAACCCAGAATGAATGGTTAGAAGGGCGGGTATGATTTTTAATCTCTCTCTCTCTCTAAGTATATATTAAAATTTACGGAGTACGTTAGACCCTTTTAGTTTGTGTAAGCGAGGGTGGCGTCGCCCATTGCACGTGGGTCCTCTAATATGAGTAGTGTCTAACCCCTGCAGTAGCATTCCGTAGACAGGAAACTACTCCGAAGCAAGTCTCAGATGGCTCATCGTTAGTAACCATTGGGACTTAACCAGGGTGGGGGCCGGGTTCCAAGGTTTCCACCCGAGTGGCGTGATCTGATAAATATTTGTATGATCTGATAAATTCCATGATCTGATAAATTATGCGATCAGATAAATTATACGATCAGATAACTTTTACGATCAGATAACTTTTAATCTCCGAATCTGGCTCCCGTGGTTTCCATTGAGGGAAAGCTTGGCCATATGTACAGCTTGGCTACATGTACAAGCTTTTGATAGCTTGGAATTTCGAATGCTCGGAGTGATGGTTGGATCTGATCTAGTCTCGACTATGTTCGTTAAGTTTCTTGGCATTTGACTTATTCAAATATCTTGTCTTTCCCTATGTTCCAAAGATTAAGGACCTGATGAGGTAGTACGTACTTATTGTTAACGTCTATGATCATTCGATTCTAATTTTGCGGATGGGATGTCCAGAATTATTCCGGAAAGGCCTGGATGAGCTTTTCCTTGTTTTCCGCTTTCCTGGACGCAGTATCACGGAATGTAGCAGTTAAGGCAGCAACATTATCCACTATTTGTCCACATGATTGGGTAGCGCTATGGAAAGTTGGGGCCCGTGATAATATGTTTCACTTGGCAAAGTGCTTTCCACCCTAATGGTTGGGAAAGAGATTTCATTCTCCACAATCTGGGCCAACCCTGAAAAGTCTAAACAGCAGCGAATTCATTGCCGACCAATAACAGTTGGGAGGAACTCCGAGGCCTCGTCGCTCCATGGCTTGGCGGATAGGGCGGGCACAAGTAAAAATGTGCACGGAGGAAATCGGATAATCCGGCACATATAGGACCATATATACACCCTGGCTAACTCACTTGTCATGCGGATAGTAGTCGGTTATACGGATTGGGCTTGCCGCCGGTGAATTCTACAATTGTCAACTAATACTATCGGAAAACCAACCCAAAAAAGACTGACCGAAGTGGACTCCGAGGAACTCAATGTACACATCTGAGAACATACAACACAACCTTGTGATTTTTATTATAAAGCAATATCGTGTTTGATTTAAGGTGCAAGGATTATGAAAAGTTGTGAAAAGACAATAACGAGATCAAAAGTGTATATCTAGGTCAATTCTGAACAGGTATCAGAGCAACCTTTGTCCCATTAGCATTTGCCAACGTCAATCCCAAATCCTCCGTCCAGGGATTAGGATCCCGAGTTTCAATTGCCTCAAAACTTTGCATAATCCTAGTAATAGTGTATCCAGCCTCAGTTAGCGCGAACTGCTGGCCTATGCATATCCGAGGACCTCCGTTAAACGGAATGTACCCCCAACCAGGCTTGAGATTTTCCCATCTCTCTGGGCGGAACTCATCCGCATCGGGTCCGAAGACTTCTTTATCGCGCTGCATTGTGTATATGCTGTAGATAATCTCGTGGCCCTTAGGTACGTAAACAGGGGACTTTCCATCCGGGCCACCGCCAACGGGAAGATATGTATCTCTGTTGGCTTGGCGTATATTGAAAGGGACGAGTGGGTACATGCGCTGAGCTGCATATTGTTTAGCAAACCGCATAGCCAGAGCTGGGAGGGGTGGTGCTTACTCTCGTTCACAACCCAGGTCAGGTACGTCATGGATTTTAGATCCTCGAATGATGGCTTTTTTCCATCCAAAGCGAGCACTTCTTTTCGAAGTTTGGTCCACACATCGGGCTCTCTGGCCAGGATGAAGAACACAGTGCTTAATAGGCCAGCAGTGGTGTCGCGACCAGCAAACATAATACTCACTAGCTGGTCTGCTATGTTGGTCTTGTCAAGTGTTTGCTTCGACAGCTCATAGGAAAATATATATCGGCTTTCAGTCAATCGCTTGATCTCTTGATCAACTTCACGGCCGCTGTTGAGCGCGACACGATAGTCGATAGTCTTTTGTACAAATCTCTCAATATAGGTGCGGGTATCTCTAATGGCTTTGTTGTATTCCTTCCTGCGGTAGAACCTCCCGAAAGCCCCAAGTCGAAAGCGCATGGCAGTCACGTGTCCGGCTGCATCAAAGGATTTAGCAAATTTCGCACCTGAAGAAGATTCTTCTTTGCGTAGCGAGTGAGCAGACTCTCCAAACAGAAACTCGGTGGCAGTGTCAAGAGTCTGCTTTCAGTCAGTTGTATATTTTGGGGAATATCAAGCATGACAACCTACTCCCTTGAGAAATAGTGGGACCAAATCGATGGTCGATCCGTCGCGCGGGATTCGCTCAATCAGCTCCGCAACGTGATTCTCATACAATTGAGTGTCGTGAATCTGAGTGCGCGAGAAATTTGGCCTGAGGAGAGCTCGTGCATGTTCCCACTCGCTACCGTCTACACCGAAGATGCCTTTGCCCATGAGTGGACGGAGAGCATCTATTCGAGCTGAACTTATTCCGAAGTCTTTGAATTTCAACGCGAGAATTGTTTGGATGTTCTGTGGTTCGACCGTGAAAATGAATTTTCGATTGAGGATTCTCGCCTTGAATGTCGGACCGTAGCTTCTATGCCAGCCGCGAATAAGTTCGAGAAATCTATGCTCCGGGCCGGCTCTGGCTACTTCCATGGCCATGCCAAGACCAAACAAGCCGTGAGACACAGAGTGTGCTGGGGATTGGCAGCCGTTTTCGCGAGCGTACTTCCATCCTGGATTAGTATTAGTCTGAGAGTTAGTCCACTGTCAATGAGGAAGATATACATACTTTGAAAGGCTTGTACGGCCTTCCTCAACGACCACGTAATCACGATACCTCCAGCCACAAGGCCGTAAAAGGGAATCTGCAAGAGATCGAAAGACACTGCCATAGCCACGGTGATTTACAGGGAATAATATATTTTGAGACTGTAAGCACAACGAGCCGGGGTTTATTCATATGTATTTGAGCTATGTGTGTGTACTTCCCCCGGTACCTAGTAAGATGGGTCATGGCGTACAGCCTGACTTGGCTTCAACTGGCGGGGTAAATTGGTTGATTGGCGATCGCTTGGTGATTTCCCATGTGCGTATCTTAGAACAAAGTACCCGTAGATTAGCTATAACTCATCTCATTGGACTTTTGACTCCGGAGCTGTAGCTCCATTCGGGCACAACAGCCTGCCAAGGGGCATGACTCGACCTTGAATAATTTCATCTGGCGTGAGATTTCAAGATGAGCCCGAGTGTCAAAAAGTGGGAGGATGTATCGCTGCAATAGGTCGGACGCATAAAGGTGGAGAAAGCGTAGAATCTGGTGATTTGTATACCTGCAGGGATTTCCTTGTCTCTTTCTTCCTCGCATTAGTAAAAACGTATTGCTCAATGCTTATTGGTTTGAATATCCGGGCTTTAATACGCGTGGAGGGATTCGTAGCGAATTTCTGATTCAAAAAGAGGAGAAATGCGGTGGGCGTATCTCTTTTGCGTGACAGGGGCCTTTTAGTCACTGTTTATTGGTTTGTTGAAAAGAGCAATCGTGACATTTGGTGGTCTGAACATGAAGCCAGGTGGGGTGTGATAGGTTGCCACAACATGGAAAACCGACATATGGGTGTCCGATTTGCAAGCAGTCTTGTTGATCATTGGTGCATGTAGAGGAGAAGATAAAACCCAAGGCTCTCTCGGTCGAGCGGTGATTGTGTTGTCAACCAACAAGACATGTAGAATGGTAGGGTATTAGAATAAAAATCAAAACACACAATCACCCATCACAAGCATCTAGGCACTACTGCGGGTATCTTTGTTCGTCACCCCCCTTTGCTATTCTATTGGTTTCACTGTGAGGCGTTGTAGCGGGGTAGGAATCACGAATGACACTAGATCGACAGCGGCACGAACACGAATGCTCCTTTTACTGAATTTCGCAATTAGCCCATCTCTACTCAAGATCCACCCGAAGAATTTGAGATGAGACTGACCAGCCCGTTGTCAAGATTTTAGTGACGATTCGGGCCAGCATTGTCGCTGGTATGTCGCTTCCCAGGGTTTGACGAGAATTAGTGACAGATTCGACTTTTCCTTGGAATTGAGCGATCTAGATTATTACCATGATAAGTGAATAGAGCACCCATAGGTAATTTCTCATGGCGCGGACAAAGTCCGGGTTAACCGGTGCGACACTCATTTTACTCGAGAGCAAGGGCAGGGGTGTAGCGCAGCGTGAATTGTGATGGCATGCATGACATGCATATCATTACAAATACATCCAATGAGGAGTCCGGATGGAGGGCCCAGGGCTGTATAGGTCTAGGTCTATCTTCTTCTTTTGCCATGGGTTCTCTTTATCTTAGGAATATGGACGGTATGGACTTGGCTCTAGCGTCGATCGACACTCACATCTCGAATTTTCCATCATTTGATATGTCTTTGGCCCTTCGGCTATATCCGCCACGCTTACATGTCATGAGTCAAACCCCGAAGTCCAGCACTCAGACAGAATGTCCCCGTGTTTGTGCATCAACTCCTTGAGGGCCACACCACAGGTCTGTGACCCGCCAATAGTAACGTCAAGGGACATGAGTCCTTTCGTGAGGATGTCGATTTGTCGATCCCAGATCCCGTCCGGTATCAAAAGCTTTGCGTTGTCATCTGATACATCATCAACAGAACAAGAGTGAAGCTGCAGGTCTATAACACTCTCAATGGCCCGTTGAAGGGCCGTGACAGCTAAACTGGGTGTCACATGATAAGCCGTGAGTGGGACTTCGGCGCCGAGTCCATTTTGAAGGTTGAAAGCCTCCTCGGCGGGTAAGTTGAGTACGCATTCAACTACCTGTGCCACGCACGAGGCTGCGTCGCGCTGATATTCCCAGACCGCGGGTCCTACTTCGTGTTTGATGGAAGGATCAAGGTCTTTGGTCACATTTTTGAAGACTTCGGCGAGAAGAAAAATACCGAGGTTCCAGAACATCACGAGGGAAACTAAGGTATAACCTGTCAGCGAGATATCGATGATAGGATTGCCGGACAAAAGCCGAGGGAGCGAATTGGTAGGAGCGTAGCTTACCAAGAGATATCCTAGGACAGGTAGACAGGCAATGGAAATTTCTGATGCACTGAAGAATGAAAGGTTGGAATGATTCACTGAAGCCACGAACAGCCGTCACGCTCAAGTTGATTGCTTCAATTATTGACGAGGACCGTTCATTGATAGTGCCATGCGTCTGATTAGCAGCGGTTTTGATGTTTATAATCTGCCTCCAGACGATAAATGTCTCCGCACTGGCTTTCCGGCAGATTGGTTGAACATTGATATCCAACTCTAGGATGTTTTGAGAGACTGCCAATGCTGCCACGGCCGCTTTATCTGAAAGAACTGTGGGGTTTTAGTTCGGTTTCCATAGATTTGAGATTCTCCATACGAAGAATACTAACCTTTTGTAGTACCCCATAAGTCTGGAAGTTTGCATTGCCGATCCATTGCCAACGCTGCGCCTGTGTCGCGGATATACGCAGTCCATCGGACAATGCTTAAACTTGCTTCAGCAAGAGCACCATATGTGGATGATGGTCCCAGGTTCGCACAATATTGCGTGACAAGTCCATTTAAGTAGGATAACTTTTGCAAAGCTGTGTCAAGGAAGTGGTTTGGTACGAGATCCTCTCTGTCGATTATTTTAGTTGGTGTAACAATACCAACAAACATGAGTGTTGCCAATACGACTCGAAATGACCGAACATGATGTGCATCGTTGAGAAGTGATCTTGCCCGTACCCAAGCATCAATGAAAGCGTTCAAGGAAGATTCACCCCCTGCCTCTCCAGACTTTGAATTTCGAGGAAAGTGATCATGAGCTGAGCTCGCTTCGAAGGAAGGCGAACTGGGCAACCATTGCATCGAGAATGCGCGAAGAACCGCTTTGAAAGTCTCATCTGATTTCTTCCGCGCGGTCGAGTTAAGACGATTGCCATAGAGGTTGCCCAAATGATCAAGAAATCGCACACTTCCCAACAAGGAGATATCGTATGGTAGTGCTTGTGACGATACTGGAAGAGCAAATCGGGGTGCGATAGCGATTGGATCCATGGCTGAGCTGGTAGGCGCCGATCCATTTGAGCTCCCTGAGTCACTGTCTCCCAACCGGTAGCGACTCTTGGTCGCATAAAGATTGCAGTCATAGTCCAAAAACCTCGACGCACTGGCTGTTGCGATTGCTTCATAAATCCGCGCGAGACGATCACCAAAGATTTTCGCGTCTATTCCAGAATTCAGCAGGTAGATGGGACTGTTGAATGAAAGGCCAACCGAGGGTCGATGATTTTTTGATTCCAGATTTTGCCCTGCGTGTAAGCGAACCAGTCGGGACGTGTCATCCATAAATTGATCCCCAAGCTGGCTTTCCTCTGGCACTATGTCCTCAGAAGAAAGCCCAGTGAATGAATTGGAAGGCTCGAGGTTGGTTGAAAACAAGTTGACGCTATCCGCGACAATCCCATCACAGTCGAGATTCAACCAAGCTGCCAGAACATCTTGGTCAGCGATAGAGGTAGCCTCGAACCGGTTATTCGGGCTCCCAGCGACTTCCTCGGTTGTAGTATCAAAGGTCCACGTGTCAAAGTCGTTGGGTTCATTTTGCGTTGTTGATATACTAGGTTCCCCGCAGTTGCGCCTCTGTCGTTTGCGAGAGAAAGGACTAGACTGAGCTATAGCGAATTCGAATGTACACTGGCGTCTCAGACGTTTGCAATTTGCGCAGATCGCATCGGAAATTCCGTCTGGATCCGATTGCACAACACAGCGTCGCTTGGAACGTCTACATGGATCACAACTTGTGTTTTGGCGTCGCGGTGGATTCACAGGAGATGTTGACGCCTTTGGAGAATTGAGATCCCCCGGCATTCCGTGTCTACATGATAACTACAAGACAAGGTACTCCGTAGCTTCCGCTGGATTAGGTTATTCCCGACGCGGCTGAATTGATTTTCCGTTCCGCGCCACCACTGATGCCTGAAATGATGCCTGAAATATGAGGCAATGTCTTAAAAATATTCATTTGAAAGAGAGGTGAATCGTCATAGAATACACAAACATCCAAATATGGTATACCTCCCACGCTCAGTGATATTACTGGAACCCCATGGATACAGAAAGAGGGCGACATGGTATAGTTGATGTCTAGACCTTCTCTCCAGCTGCCCTCCGAACACAATCGACAATGAACCCCGGGTTACTCATGAATGGGGAATGTCCCTCATCGCATTCCTCCACTTCAAAACAGCCCTCGCCTTGCGCAATCATCCTCCGCTGGAACGGTTCCCGCAACGCCTGGTCGTTTTTGCAGACAATGTATGTGCTCGGGATCTCACGGTACGCGGTGTATGTGACAGGAACCGTCAGTGGGCCCATGGGGAATGTGTCGAGCAGCTCTATAGCCCTATCGATGTCCTTCTGCTCGCAACGGTTATAAAACACGAGGTGGACACGGTCCTTCGGGAGGCTGATTGCTCCATCCTGGCGACAAATTAGTACCGAAGACGTAAACGTAAAGATTCGTATCCATACCGCTGACACATCTAGTCCACCAAACTTTTCCTCCAGCTCCTTGCGTTGACGCTCGATCTCTTCTTCCTCGGGCGTCTGTGGGACCAATTGGCCGACATGGGTCTGGCCTTCCGGCAACGCCATCGCGCACATGTAAACCAGCTTGATAATACCGCCTTTCAAACCCTGTGCTTCTCGCTCCTTCTTTCCCAGACCCTTGGCTGCCTCGGACATGGCGATGCCGCCAAACGAATGTGCGAGGACGACGACATCTTTCCCGGCGTCCAGTTTGTTCATAATCACTTGTCGCACAGCTAGCGCGTCTTGCTCCCAGCTAGGTAGTGGTGGGCTGGAGCCTACCGAAGGCATTGTCACACCCTCTGCATCGTAGTTGACCTTTGCAAGCTCATCAATGAGGCCTTGGAAGTGTGCAGGTTGGTGCCATGCGCCTGGCACAATGACAATTGAGGGATTGACCATCGTGAAGTTTTATTCAAGTAGAAGAGGATTCAAGAGTGGTAAATTGGGATTGAGGTAAGATGGATTTGGGATAAGACGAAGATCAAGCCTTTAAATATATGGATGAAGATTCGGTGCTCAAGTATGTAGATGTGTCCCCACATCGGAGCCGCCCCAAAGTGGATCACTTGGTCGGAGCCGCCCCGAACCTTTGGTTGCTGATTGGTTCAATCTCGCCAGCGGCTCCCCCATTTCATCGTACCTAGTAGATGAGACTTACTGTATTATCCGCACAAATCTTGTATGAGTTACTATCGGTATGAACGATTAGACCTATGTCTCATGCGAATGCTAATGGCTCCTACCATAGTGGCCTTGAAAAAAAGGCCCTTTGGCCGTGCTGTCTAGCCAGTGAATACATCTTGAAGGCAGACAAAAAGCGAGTTTTACCTATTACTCAGGTTGGTCAACAGGTAGGATGGTAATCTGTACTGCTGAAATATGATTTTTGGACATTTAAATACATTCATTCTCCAGAAACTAAGAGTATGGTCTTATGGTGTCACTGATGAGACTTTCCAATCCTCTCCTCCTCCCCAGCCTACAATATTTTTTGCTCAACGAAAGTTATCCTACAGCTATGTCACAAATTATTGCTCTTCAAATTTGTGATATTATCTGTACCTAGGCAGCCGTATGTTGACGGTTGTAAGATCATAATGGAAAGATAAGAAAGACCCACGAAGCAAACAATAGGCTAGCTGGGCAGGAAGATGTGGAGTATCAAAAGGAATCTTCAAGAAAACAAATTTCCTCAGAAATTCTTCGGACAGCAGAGAGCTATCTCTGCAGAAAGGTTCCAAAATGTCGGAGGGGGTGAGAACAGAGCCCTTTCTTAGGTTGGTTCAGCTCCTACCCTGACCCATACACTCTGTTTCCGCAGAGTTGAAATAAAAGTATCCTCCTCATGAGAGGCGCTTGCGCAGCCCGGTCATTGATAGCCTGTGGTATTAAGGCGATGGCAGGTGCCTAAGTGACGAGCTTAAAAGGGGAGAGGGTTCAAGTGGGTGGCTCCTTCTCCACCTGCGTGGAAACTATGTCTGAATTTGGTATTCTGGCGTCGGATTTGACTACTATAAGAATCTTTAACCATTCCTCACGGCAGCTTGTGAAGCAACTGGGATGAGCATACTATATAAATCTATCAAGTTACCTACGGCTAGAGTCTTTCGCTGTCTTTGTGGAGATAATAAACAACATATACGGGCCAGTTTCTTTGTTCCAAATGTGTTCACGCTATTCCTGAGTTGCATTTCTTTGAAAGTTTTAATTGTTTTTATTTCAGAGCATACATGTATTCAGTCGAATAAACCGTGGCCAGGTCCCTAAATATGTCCCTGTAGTCCATTGTCTTCACTCGACAGGCCCGGGGGACAAACGAGTTTATTATCCTAACAACGCAGATAAAGATGGGATAAAGTGACAACACCCTATTGCTTTTAAGCACAAACATTCACTCTTTTATCTTCATCCTGTTTCATCCTCGTCATCTTTGATCCTCGCAATCTTTCATCCTTGTCAACCTTTTGACGTGTTTATCCATCCTGATTATCCCGCTATCCTTGTCTTTGATTCATCCAATCACGGCGATGGTGCTCGACCAAGTGCGCGTTTCTACGCGGCACACGCTTAACTGCGCCAATGAGGCGACAGTCACCGCACTTGAGTCTACTTTTAGCCTAGGGCCGATGGATCACACCGTGCCTGCTATGTTGACTATTGAAGCTATCCTTGTCTACAGAAAACCGAAAACAATGCCAAATGACAACTTCCTTCCAGTTGAACGGCTGAAGGTGGCTGCATCCCACCTCCTCGACTATTACCCACATTTAACTGGCCGTCTACAGCAGAATCCAGTCAGCCAAGCTCCAGAGATTGGTAGGCTAGGTACTGGCGCTGAACTTTGGGAAGCACAGTGCCCTAGAAGACTTGCAAGCATCGCACTGTCTGCCCTTTCCGTCCGTATTTTGGTCTTCAACCTGCCAGATTCTGGGAATGCACTGCTTCCGATTTTTCATTCTACAATGGGATCTGTCTCACACAATCCCATCTTCGCAATCCAGCACACCCGATTTGGCTGTGGTGGGGTCGCACTAGGGATTCGAGTTCACCATCAGGTCTGCGATGCCACTGGATTCATACAACTAATCCGTGATCTTGCTGAGATCTACAAACAATTGCGAGACTCTTCTCCACCAACACTCATCTCTCCCCCTGAGATTTACTCACACTTTCGAGGTATGACCAGCCCATCGGCCAGCCAGAAGGAGAATGCCCCTGCGTTCAACCCTCCGAACTTTTGCCTAGATCCAAACACCATGGCCATCCCAGATGTTCCAACACCTCCCTCAGTCTACATTTGTCCTCTCCGTTTCCACCGTCAAGATCTTATTGCACTCAAAAATGCTGCAACCGACCCTGACGCCCAGGGACAGACCTCATTCACTAGATTCGAGCTCATCTCGGCCTATCTGTACCAACGCATTTACCAAGCCAGAATTCAGGTTCTGCGTGACAAGGGGATCGCACCAGACCCCGACAAATTACAGCCACTTCGCGACTTTTGGACAACCATGGACATGCGTGACTCAACCCGTCTCAAGCTTCCCGCACGCTACTTTCCAAACGCCGTCCACTGCCCCTCGACTTCCACCTCCCATGAATTACTCGAAAAGGGCGTGCTCTGGCAGGTTGCACAGGTTATCCATGATGCAATTCACTCGGTCGATATGGACGAAGTCAAACAGCAGTTCGAATGGATTGCTGCACAGCCCAATAAAAGCCACATCAGGTTCAAGAATATGGTTCCAAATGGTTGCTTTGTCGCTACCCAGTGGAGTAGGGGCAAGACATACGCTGGTGTTGACTTTGATGTGGCCCCCAATGGCAAGCGCATTGCCCCTTCCCTGGTGTCACCGGCCTTTAGCGATGGTTACCGGGTCGATGGCTTGGCAATCATCATGTCTACCGAGGAGGAGTTAACTCGACGCCAAGGTAGCAGACGTTCTTTGGCTTGTGCTGATGTTCCATGTGCTGTTGATGTCAATCTGAGTCTGGATAGGTCGGTATGGAAGGTTCTTAACAGTGACCTCGACTTCTTGGCTCTTCATTCCTAATTGATACTTCATCATTTACCTCGGTTTGACGCAAGTGGGCCAAATTATGGCAATTTATTTTGAAAAGTGCTAATTTTTGGGTATTTCTGGAGCTTTCATTCTCTGGGACAACTTCTTTTTGGAGAAAAAGGACGAGAACAAAGACAAGAGAACGAAAACCAGAAAAAACGCGAAAAATCCCCTCAAGCAAAGCACAAATCTGTAGTGTACAAAGAATGAATATCAAATGCTAGTGTATTAACTTAAGTCCATCATTCTACTAATTGGTTTTATGACCTACCCCTATTATAATATTTTGGGCTTCTTCATCCAATTCCAACCAGGGAAGCCCACATAATATGTTGCAGATGATCCTGTTTTGCCTACTTCTAGATATATATCCAAGCTAGACGAACACGGCATAGCCTTTGAAAATAGGCTTCATGCTCAACCCGGGTGATATCACCAGAGAAATCTGGGTTGTAGCTGCAAGAAAGGTTGAAGTTTGTTGGAGGCCTTGACTTGGGAGAACTCCCCCATAAATGTCGTCATATGGCTTCTATGTGACGGGCTGTGATTGGTTCATACTGAGAGTCACGTGGCATAGCCCCAGTCGAGGATCCACCCGTCCCTGGCCCAGAACCATCAGAGCTCCAATGGTCTTCAGTTGTTTTGGGACCATCACTTGTCTTCATATACTACTTTCTTTTGTAGAAAACACTGGATGCTTAACAGATCTTTATATCTCACTCGCAGCCAGCTATCCGACGAATATTCTACATCGGAAAGATCACTGCTCTCCCCACGTGTGATGTCATTGGGCTGAAGCAATGGAAGAACCACCGCGTCGACCTTCTACACTTGAACGCAACCGGTCGACCCAGGATGGGGCAAAAGTACAAGGTGAGAATGGATCTACCTCTTTAGCTACTCGCCAACAAGAGTGCACTAACCTTTTGAAGATGATGGTCGAATTGAGATCGACCTGGACTCCAAAGTGGGCAGAGAAGTGTCAAAGTTGATACCATTTCTGCACACGGAAGAGCATATTCAACCACAACCAGAACCTTCAGGTGATACCGGATGTAGTCTTGAGCTTAATATCGTGATCCAAGTCGTTGGCAGTCGAGGTGACGTCCAGCCTTTTGTCGCACTAGGCAACGAGCTTCAGCGCCATGGACACCGCGTACGACTAGCCACACATGGTGTTTTTGAGAGCTTCGTGCGGGAATCCGGTCTGGAATTTTATTCTATTGGAGGAGATCCCTCGGAGCTAATGGCATATATGGTGAAGAATCCAGGACTGATACCACAGATGAAGTCCATACAAGATGGTGATATTCAACGCAAGCGTGTCATGGTAGGCCAGATTCTCAAGGGATGCTGGCAGTCCTGTATTGAGGATGACTCCGTGACCAAAACACCATTTGTGGCCGATGCTATTATCGCGAACCCTCCAAGCTTTGCCCATATTCACTGCGCTCAGGCGCTTGGTATCCCTCTACATATGATGTTCACCATGCCGTGGACTAGCACAAGATCATTCCCTCATCCCTTGGCAAACTTGAAATATTCAACCACAGAGCCGAAAATGGCTAATTATCTTTCGTACGGGATCGTCGAATGGCTCACATGGCAAGGGTAATTAATGATCGGATACCCTCCTGCTCATTCCTACTACAGCACGCTGACCTCTGAATAGCCTGGGGGATGTCATCAACGATTGGAGAAAGTCCATCGACCTAGAACCTATATCAACCACCGAAGGACCACGTTTAGCAGAGACTTTGAAGATTCCCTTCACTTATTGCTGGTCCCCTACATTGATGCCTAAACCAACGGATTGGCCGGGACATCTGAATGTCTGTGGCTTCTTCTTCCGCTCCCCTCCAGACTTTACACCACCAGCAGACCTTGATGCATTTCTCCAAAGCGGGCCTCCGCCAGTTTATATTGGTTTTGGGAGCATCGTCATTGAGGATCCCCCAGCCATGACTGCCACACTCGTCAATGCGGTGAGATCCTGGGGCGGCCGTGCGATCATATCCCGTGGCTGGAGTAATCTTGGCGACGCACAATCGGACGATCAGATCTTTTACCTTGGAGACTGTCCGCATGAATGGCTGTTCCAGAAGGTCGCTGCAGTTGTACATCATGGAGGAGCAGGGACTACAGCATGCGGTTTACGATTTGGAAGGCCCTCTCTCATTGTACCATTCTTTGGAGAGTATGTCATTTCTTGCAAGCTTTTTCCATTCCTTTGCTAACTTGTTACAGTCAGCTATTTTGGGGGAATATGGTTGCGTCACGCGGGATTGGACCAATGCCCATTCCACACCGGTCATTGACTGCAGATAATTTAGCGGAAGCCATTCGTTTTTGCTTGCATCCTGATACCCTAGCAGCAGCTGGCAATCTTGCTCGTGAAATGAGCGAAGAAGATGGAGTTTCAGCGGCCGTTGCATCTTTCCATCGCAACTTACCGCTCGATAAAATGAAATGCCAGTTCATCAATTCTGAGCCAGCTGTATGGCAGTTAAAACAAAACGGAAAGTCCCCTATCAATTTGTCGAAGATGGCAGCAGGGATCTTGCTTGAGAATTCTCGCATTGATAAACAGGGCCTCAAAACGTGAGAGCATATATCCTTACTATCCTATCTATAAATACCTATACTAACACACATTCGGAACTAGATACGAGAGTAAATCAATCTTCATTCAGACCCGGCGATGGGATCCTATCACGGGCGGCACATCGTCTTTACTAGGCATGTACAAGGATATCCTCACAGCATCAAGCGACGTCGTCATTCGGCCCTACAAGGAGTTCAGTCGCGCCCGTCAACAAAGCGAGCCAGAGCTCGTAGTCATTGAGTCGGCAAACCCCGAATCCGACCAAAGTCCATCCGCAGGCATCTCACGCACTTCCGGAAGCAACCGGACAGATGAAGACTGGAGAGTTACAGGAAAGGCAGTGGGAGGATCCGCCAAAAGTGTGGGCAGGATCATAGCCTATTACTACAAGGGCGTTCTGGTAGACATACCGGGTGCAGTGAATGAAGGCCTCAGAGCTGTTCCCAGGCTCTATGGCGAGGAGGTGAAAGACTATGATAACATCCGGGACTTCAAATCTGGAGTTGCTGCGGCTTCAGATAACTTTACGCATGGGTTCTCACATGGGCTTACTGATATATTTCGACAACCCTACGAGGGTGGCCAGAAAGATGGTATTAGGGGTGCAATTAAAGGATTTGTTAAAGGCCCTATTGGCATGGGGACGAAGGCTGCATCAGGTTTGTCACACAGGGTACCCTTATCTGACCAGCGGGACTATGCTAATTGATCATCTCTAGGTGCTTTGGGTTTAGTAGCATATCCAGGACAAGGCTTGGCGAAAAGCTTGCATTCAGCTATCCATTCCAAGACTCGGAAGCAGCTTCTCAAAGCACGATTAATCGAGTCTGAATATATGGCTCGACAATCAGCCAAGGCCCAATCGAGCTGCCCCGATGTGATTGAGGCATTTGAAGCTCAACAAAAGTGGCCTGGGGATAGCGCCAGCTCAACAAATCCGGAACGCGCTAGTTTTCAGTGATGAAAATAGTGGGGAGTATTAGCAATATCATCAATTTCAGAAATATATGTTGTAGACTCCAGTCGCACAATTGATTCCATAATCTCAGCCCCGCATAGTTCAATCTCTTCTGCGATAGGTCGCAGCGTATCAACTCCGATGACGCCTTAGCTTTAACACCACGCTCTCCGTTTTTCTGACTCTTCTTTTTCTCCCATTGCATCTGTATTTCCATTCTTATATCCCTGGAGTTTAAATCGCATCTCAGACTACTGTTGGGCCACTCATCATCATGTCATCCAACTCCAATGCAAAGCCCTTCCCCCGCCCAGCAGCGGGGTATAGCCAACCATTTTGGCGAACGCAACCAGATGTCCTCGATAAGCATCAAACCACACCAGAATTGCCAGAGGAGACTGATATTTTGATTATCGGTGGAGGTTATGTCGGAGCTTCGGCCGCCTATCGCTTGCTCGCAGAGAATCCGCAAAATCCAACCCCCCGGGTGGTGCTGCTTGAGGCTCGGGAGCTGTGCTCTGGTGCCACCGGGCGCAATGGTGAGGCCTGCTCATGACCTACATTATAAGTATACAAGTCCAGCTCACTCCATTTTTTCTTAGGTGGTCATTTGAGACCAGATATTTATTACGCAACAGCTTTGTTCACCGAACGATACGGCATCGAAGCAGCGTTGGAGATTGTACGGTTTGAAATTTCGCACTTGAAGATCGTGGAGGAGCTGGTTCGAAAAGAGAAAATTGATTGTGATCTCACCTTCACCCGCTCTTATGATATCTATCACGATGAAGCTCAACTAAAGAAGGTAAAAACCTTCTACGATTTCTTGATCGAACAGGGACTGGACTTTATGGATGATGTTAAATACCTGTCTCAAGCCGAGACCCGAGAAGTAAGTTGGAATGAGCATCCGGGCTAGCATATCCATCTTCGATATTCCTTCTAACAATGTTCGCTTTAAGACGGCGTATGTTCGAGACGCCAAGGGAGGCTTCAGTTTTCCATCAGGCCATCTCTGGCCTTACAAACTCGTCGCCCATCTCATTCGGGTTGCCGTTTCTCACGGCCTGAACCTGCAGACGAATACACCTGTTTCTGCAATCGGGGAAACTCCAAACGCAAATGGATTCTGGCCGGTGACTACCAGTCGTGGCACCATTAACGCGCGCAAGATTATCCTCGCGACCAACGCGTTCACAAGCGCCTTGGCCCCGCAATATTCGAAAGCTATCATCCCCTGCAAGGGTATCTGCACCCAGATTGCCGCGGCACCTGGTGCACCCCACCAGGAGCTCTCTGGTACTTATTGCACACGGTCTGGGCCGGGGGCGGCTGTTTATCAAATTTCCCGGAATGACGGGACACTCATTATCGGCGGGGCGGAGAATCTTTTCAAAGATAATCGGGAGGAGTGGTATGATAACCCAGATGATGGGAAATTGATTCAGGTTGCTGTGGATTATCTCGATGGGCACATGCAACGAAATTTCCTTGGGTGGGAGGATAGCAAGGCGGAAATCAAACAAGTCTGGGCTGGTGGTATGGGCAATTTCTCTATATACAATTCCCTCGGACCGAGGGTATGCTTTCCTTCTGCTAACCTCCTGTCTCAATTATAGTCATGGGATACAGTAAAGACTCGTTACCTCATATTGGTGGTATTCCGGGTAAACCGGGTCAGTTTATCGCGGCTGGATTCCACGGCCATGGTATGCCTGTGGCATTCTTGTCTGGAAAGGCTGTTGCAGATATGGCGCAGAACTCCGTTGCATTTGAAGATACCGGTTTACCCAGATTGTACAAGACGTCACTTGCTAGACTGGATCCAGTTCATGATGATACTATACGCTAGGTATGTTTGGCTGGGTTGTCTCTTTTCCGTATACTCTCTTACATTACCGTCGCGAAAGCAGCGAATAGTTCCGGGCCATGGCGCTCCTTATTTTTTATCAAGTTTGAAATGTGTAACAATGAACTGCATACATATAGAGTTATCAGGATGGTTCCTGTCAATGAAGTGATAACACGATCACTATTACAGAACAAATAGCATTTGTATGCTGATGTATAGACTGATTCTTGCGGTATCACTGGAGAAGTTTTATGCAGGTTGCAGGTTGCAGGTTGCTAAGCAGATAAAACCTTGCTTCTTCCTCCATGGGTGATCTCCCTTCACTTGATCCCTCTTTCCAGAGCTTCGCCCAATACGTGGAGGCTTCCTTCTCTTCTGCCAGATGTGTGCATTGAGACGTAACGAGGATGCTACAATCCCTTCCTCGCCCAACAGGCTGAAACAAAATCAAAAAGCAACTAAGGTAGCTGGGAGTTACAGAGGAACGAGTACCGATGAGTCGAAGAAGGGTTCCATGCCCTTTCATCATAATGCCTTCTAGGCTGTCGTTTCGATCTGGCCTTCAGGAGCGACGCGGGAATTTCCAACCTCTTCCATTCCGAACGAACGACAGGAGAAGAGGATAATTCCGACAATATTATCCACTTTATTATAAGGGACCGTAGAGCTCCATTGTCAAGCACTTCGTGAAACCCTTTCACGTATGTCGAGACGACATCGAGTGGCTAAGACATTTCTATTCCAGCTAGCAACTGACCGACCATCATGGTTTGACCACTCGTAGCGTGCACTGTCTCAAGAGGGAAGCTCCGTACGCTTTACTCTTGATTTCGTGTTGGGATTTTGAGGACTCGACGTAGTAGGTTTATAAAGAGCAATCCGAGGAAGAATATTTGAAGGAATGGGTGTTCTGCCAGAGGTTCCGAAGGATAGTAAGAGACGTAGGGATCCCACCTCAAGGATATATTCATAGCTAGTGAGGCTTTTTCGTTAAAATTTCATGCCACACCGATCCAACAAAATTGTTTCCACCAAGTAGAGACCCGGTATCACCTCCCGGAGCAATGTTCCATTTCAGTAATCATTGTCCCGTCCAATTCTCGTCCGGTCGGATCAGCAAGTGTTGTATCGGAGGGTGTTACGCCACAGAAAGAGGGGGGTAGGATTTCCTTGCGCCGAAATCATTTAAGCCGACGAAAAATAGGGCACCATCTGCACCTATACCTTTTTAGCTCCCCAGAGAGAGAAATAAGTACCGGCTGTTCAATTTCCCGAGAGAAGGTGTAATTTCGTCTAATAGAAAGCATTCCGATCCCATTCCGACGGATGTCTAGGTATCCTCGCTGTCACATCTGATCTCGCTCGTACGTCAGGGACTTAGGGTCTGGTCTAGCACGTGTCCTACCTATAATTTCGATTAGAATTGAACAACATATTCATATCATATATATCGGTTTCCATTCCCAATACACCATGTGCATTATATTACGACCTGGTTTACTATCTTCTACTAGTACCTTTAGACCTGTCGGTTTGACATAGGAGCTTAAAATCAGTCACCGAGGCCGAAAGCGCTTGGCTCCACTTTATCCCTGTACCTCACCAAGTGCCCCATCACTATCTTGGTCTTTGTCTCCCGGAAGAACGGCACCGAATAATCAGCTGCGCCGATCGCGGAAGCATTGACCGGATAACCTCCAGGGTATGTATGCTCCACCGTTTATGACCCGCTCTACGCTACTCTATATTCCAACGTTGATCACATTAAGCAGGAGCACTCATCACATGGAGGTGTTGGGTCGTTCGAGAAAAGTCCTATGTTCGGTTTATGATTCATTCCAGTTTCGTGTATATTTAAAAAGAAATCTAAAAAGAACATCTAAAAGCACATCAGTGTGTTTTTATGTAACGTGCCTTATATAATCTTGGACTAAACAGATCTGCCATTGAATATGTAAAGTGATTCCTATCTATGGTGGAACCATGCTCATGTATTAAGACATCATTCGGATTTTTGACTATCAAGACACGAACAGACAGATACAAGATAAATCAAGTATATCGTAAATATAGAACTTTGAAAGCCAAACATAAGAACATTAATCATTACTGCGACCAACACACAAACAGCTGCACACTTCCCCTCCCGCACCCAGCATCTAGAAGACAAAATCCTCATTGGAATCATCTTATCTTGCGAAGCCCAATCGGAACCTCATCGTCAACCTTATGCTGAGGCGCCTCCTCATTCCAGTTCACGTTCCGGGTGGAAGCCTTTTGCCGCAAGAAGCGATACTTCTGCAGAAGCCTTCTGTAGAAGAACAGCAAGGCAATCCCAAGACCCAACCCAGCCACTGAGCCAACCACAATACCCGCAATAGCCCCGCCTGACAGACCAGAGCTTTTCTCGCTCGTGGTACCCGTGTTCTTCGTTGCGCCCGATGCTGCAGTGGCAGTAGCAGTAGCCCCAGTTGTGGCCGTGGTAGTAACATCGGTGAACTCGTCTGACGTCACATTGAAACAAGGGACTTGGAAGGTGAACTTGCTTGCCGCGATGTACGTGACGTCTGCGCACGCGTAGTAGGTTTCGTTTTTATCAGTATCGAAATCGGAGGTGTATTTGATCTGGAACGTAGCATTCGTCCCCTCTTCCACATCGATAGATGGGTTGGGGACAGAGTAGCATTCATGTCCTGGTTTGATGTCGGCAAGAGTGGAGCCATTAATGAAGGGCTCGAAGTCATCATTGGTAGTCGGGTCTAAAGGAGGGTCAGTTTAGATAGATGAGAATGATGGGGTTAGCTTACTGCTTTTGTGTGAGATTGCAACCTGCACATTCCAAGACTCGTCTTGAAGTACAAGTGCGAGCTTGCCATTGACTGGAGTGTCATGTCAGCATATCTTCTTTTTTTTGGTTGCGGGATAAATATGCGCTTACTCAATGGAAAGTTTGTCCGATTCACTGCCCCGGTTGATGAGCCACACGGTGCGTTGTTGTCGTATGCTGCACCCCAGAGACGATCAGGTGGCCACAGAAAGGCAGCCGGGCCCATAACTTTGCTCGCTTCATCGCCATGAGCACATAGTCCTCCAACGGCAGAGAGAGCAATTAGTGCGACGTAGTTTCTCATAATTATATTGAGAGACTTGGTCTAATCAAGGATATGATAGGAGGAAGATGTTTTTAGAAAGGTCTTGAAGAAAAAGACGGAAAACCGAGACATCGGCGTTTATAAACTTCGAGTTACCCTCGAGCTCGCTTGAAAACTACTACCGATATGAGCGAGGGTCTCAGATAGGTGTGTGTCGGTTTAACCCGACCCCCACTGCCAAGGGTCTTAATAAATGCCAAGCACGTGGCAACCAGAGTTTCCTGAATGTCATGGCCGGGAACCCTCTCACCGAAGTTAGACCACTGTTAGGGACCCATCGAGGTTGAGTCACAAGTCACAAGCAAAGATACAAATTATGGTTCAATGGCTTGCCAATGTAGGCAATTAATTTATTGAAGCCGGAGGAACCCGCGGATAAAGAGCGTAGAGCAAAAGACTCCGGACCTAGATCAGATTAGATCAATCAGATAAGATAGGTGGGTCTTCCAAGGCTGTTTTAGTTGCGTTTAGTTGGTTCGCTTCCACATTTTTTACCTGATAGCTAGGGTTCATTTGAGACATGACCGTAACCGGCAATCTAATCCGATAAATTTCCAGTTCCCGGACCCCTCGTACCACCTTGGCTATTTCTCGCTCCGAAATGAGCATTCCGCCAAGACAATGTATTTTTTCTGAGGAGCATCCACGGGTGAATAAGTAGAGACTGAACTGCCGTCATCTTAATGCTCATATCATCAGTCTTTACAATTCTAAATACTAATATTTACCTCATTTCACTCTTTAATACCACAATGCATCTCGTTAACGTTGCTGCTTTTGCCTGCACTGTACTCAGTGTTAGCGCATTCGAATTCCCGGACTTTGTCCCTCTGCACCGGCGCCAGGATCCCGGTACTCCTGCGTACGAATGTCACGCCAACTGCGGTATGTTACATATCCTCTAGCATAATTACTCAAACTGACCGATTAGGTGGCGTGATTACCGCCGGCCGTACTGATGGGTACTGTGATGCCGCCACTTTCAAGACCGAGTTGAGCGATTGCTTGAAATGTGCCCTTGAGTTCGACATTTGGAAATACTACGGTAATTCTGTATCCAAGGCTGCCACTGCATGTGGATTGGATGCCACCCCGGTCAAAGTGTCTTCCACCTCGACTGAAGCGTCTTCCACCTCGACCGAAGCGTCTTCCACTTCGACTGAAGCGCCTTCCACCTCAGCCGAAGTATCTACTACCTCAGCCGAAGAGTCTTCCACCACTACATCTGTTAGTGCTACCACTACGGAGTCTGCTGAGGAGAGCGTCACTTCCGCTGTGACTACTGGTGTGGTGACCTCGGCTACTGGTACTACGGTCGCCTCAACTTCCGTGAGCCCCCCGCGTGTTTCTGGTTCTTCTCGCCCATCGTCATTGATTCCTTCGGTAACACCTACTGGAAGCTCGGTTGGTTTTTCTTCTACATACTAGTGGACTCATAGCTAACTTGTCGTAGACTGCTAGCACCCCTTCCTCGTCTCCCGTCTTCAATGGTGGAGTTACGATGAGTGCAGGTAATGGACTTGTATCTGGTGCTTTCGTTGGCTGCCTTATTGCAGCCTTCCTGTAAGCAAAGTAGCATAGTGTTACTTGATAGAAAGATGGAGGGTGTAATAATGTTGACAGTAAGATTGCCGCTTCGGGCCTTTTGAAGTTCAGATTCTCTCTCTCAATAGTGGTACTACTATGAATTTTATCTGTTCCTAATTGAAATGCGAGTTTACTTCATTTTAATTGATCCCGTATAATTTATAGCCGGCTACATAAATAGTGGCTCGTAATAGACGGCCCCAGTGGCCTCCGAGGCCGCCCGTTTGAAATATTTAAGTTGGTTTAAGCATTCCGTAATCTTCCTTGTGAATCTAAAGATCACGACTATTGGAAGCACTTAGATGGAATTGAAACTGACTAATGAAGTACCATTTCTGTTCTTTTCATAGGTATCTTAAATTTATAAAATTTACAGCTATATAAGTATAAATTTCAAATTTAAATACAATCCGAATAGTAGAGGTCGAGATACCGCAAAATATGTATATTTTGATTAGATTATAAATTATCTAAATAACGCGCTTTCTCGCGTTTTAAAAAGTGATATAGAGAGACAACTAGTAATTAATTCTAAATAATTTAAATTAATAAAATATTACCTTTAAAATAAGGCTTAGAAACGGGGGTAGAACGAAGGGTAATTTTAAAATCCCTAAACGGGGGTTCAAATTCTGAATTCTCGGCATATTTGTACTGTTTGGGGCCTAAAGCCCATCGGTGGGCCCGAGGCCAGGCCTAAAACCCAACCCATTTGTGGGCTGGGCTGGGCCGGGCTATGGGCTTTATGGGCTTTGCGGAGCTCTAGTAATAGCTATATATACCTATAAGAATAGGGATATCAAGTTGACTTATTTTCCGGACGAATAAACAAATATTAATTATTGAGTGTTTAGATTTAAATCGGATATTCTTTCAATTTACATTCTGTTATATCTTAACTTCTAGTACAGTAGGATCGGTGCACTTCCAAGACAATCCCAAGAAATCCTTTACCTTCATCGGTTTAATATCTGGAAATTCCTTGTTCAATGCACGTGTAGGATCCAAATCAAGCTCCTTTTTCACGAACCACATTCCAGCAGTGGACAGCAGAGCTTTAATATCCGCTTCGGGAAGTTGAAACATTTTCCCGTAACTGGGCAGTATCGAAACATTTCCAGCCTTCATGTCGGCCTCAGAATCATGTATAACGTTGAACTTGGAACCTAAAATAGAATCGTTAGCAGAACTATTGGGAGCTTGAAGATATTACGTGATACATACCTTTTGCACCTTCCGCCAGTCTGATGAACTCATTCCATGTCAATTTCTCTCCCAAAACATAACTTTCCTCTCGCCATTCTGCGAGATCTAAGCTCAGAACAACAAATTTGGCGATGTCAGTACTGTGAGTGAAAACGACTAGATCATCTCCTGAACCAGGGACCGCTGCTGATTCGTGGAGTATATCGACAAACAAAGGCCAAGGTGATATATTGGATTTCAATTGCGGAGCGGCGTAGTAATCCAGAAAGATGCCATTGTAGAACGCAGTATATTCCAATGATGTTTTTTGAACTGCCTTGATAGCTTCAGATTTGGCTTTCGCAACAGGGGTACTATCAGGGTATCTGAAGAAAAATTAGTTCTTTTCTTTGCTTTCCCTATGAGCAAAACGGTTACTTGATGGGATATGTAAAACCAGCAAAAACACTGGGTATGATTCTTCTGGTAGTGCGCGATTTGTCCGCAGCAAGGATCAGGTTTCGTTCTGGCTCAAGATCATCCTGAGAATTGATTGTGCATATGACAGTGTCGATGTTGTTGGCTTCTAGGGCTGATTCAATGGACTCTGCATTCCTGTAATCGATGGCGACAACAAGAGCCCCTAGTTTTTCTCCAAGCTCGGTGTTTTCCTATTTATGTTGAATTCAAATTCTTGCGGTAAACTTTTGGGGACCGTCTCACCCTTCGACTTAAGATCAAAACTTCATGTTTGCCTTGAGCTTTCAAGGCTTCAACAATAGTGAGACCAAGGCCACTGCTGCCACCTGCGACGGCAACAACAACCATCTTCAACAAGTTTTGAAAGATGTGTGAAGGAAAATCGAGGATATCGGATAAGGCGTTAACTTAGAGCTTGAGACCGGAATGAAGAAGTGATTTTCTGGGACAATCTTGACCTTGACTTCAGTGCAGCCTGCCCCTAACTTATATTGTTAGAATATGATGGCATCAATTGGGAAACAATAGCCCTAGTCGCATGAGTCATAATTTATCCGGTCGGAAATTGTATTCATCTGTTCTGCACCTTGTGATACGGACCTCATCTAGGGCATATAATTAGTTGTTTCGCTGCCGTAGAGGAGCTTCCGCCACCGGAAGGTAGGTTACCGGTACTTAATACTTGTATTATAATTTCATTGATCTGTCCGACAAACAACATCCGAGATACCGGTATCCCCACATTCCGTTACGGAAAGGGTGTTGGCCCGGGCGGACCAACAACCGGAGGACGGCCTTGGGGGACGTTAATAAGCCTAGGGAAGAGGGTTTGTAAGCAGTGGTGAGGCATTATCAAGCACTTGGACTCCTTAACAATAATAATGTCAGGGCCTGAGATGGATAAGTCTTTATTAAAGTGGCCAATATTGTACTACAACATCATCGGGCATCTTAAACTCATGGTTCGCTTCTCCAAACAGATTATTTAGTCAACTCAGAATGTCTCCTCTGAACAAATATATCTCCAAGCTTGCTGGAGCAAATGTCCTTATCATTGGTGGAACTGCTGGTGTTGGTTACGCTGTCGCGGAAGCTGTTGTTGAATATGGTGCTGCTTCAGTCGTTCTTTCGAGTTCCAACCTTGATCGCGTTTCCGCCTCTACGTCGCGGCTTCGTGAATCTTATCCATCGACTGCTTGTGACATCGTCGGCTTCGCGTGCGACTTGAAGCAAGAAAGCCTACTTGAATTCAATATCGAGGCTCTTTTCAATGCCGCCACATCAAACGGGAAGCGGCAGTTAGACCATGTCGTTTTTACTGCTGGCGATCATCCAAACCCGAAACCCTTGTCTCAAATCGACTTCAATTTCATCAAAGAAACTGGCCTAGTGCGGTTTTTTGCGCCATTGTTGATAGCAAAACATGCGATGAAACATATGGCACCAGGCCCGGCATCCAGCATTTCATTCACGTCTGGAATCAGCGCCTATCGCCCGTACCCCAATTGGAATGTGCTGGGCGCCTATACTGGCTCATTGGAGGGCATGATCCGAAGTTTAGCAGTTGAAATGAAGCCAGTGCGCATAAACCTGGTCTGCCTCGGTCCTGTTGACACAGATCTCATTGCTCGCTGGTATTCTACTCCTGAGGGGCGCAAGAGAGGCATTGATGCCATCGGCAGTACCTCTCTGACAGGAGGTATTGGGAAAGTTGAAGATGTTGCAGAAGCTTATGTTTACTGTATGAAAGACCATAACTTGACGGGATCTGTTATGAATTCCAATGGGGGCTTGTTGATCGTCTGAGCATGGGCTGCAGCTATGACCAAACAATTACTATATCTACCCTCACTGGGAGAGGACGTGACACCATTCAATTTTATGACACTCGAGATCGAAATTCTTATATAGCTCTCCACTTAACCCACCACAATCATACATACAACCGAACCAGCTAAGTAGGAGTATGAGACACCAGAACTAGAACGACACCATATTACATCAGTCACCCTACTCATGACTATACAATAGGAGAAACTCAACCCAGTTGAAACTACATATCGTTGATATTACCTCTCGAGTATACTCCAGTACATAACATTCGTCCTGCAGGCTTTGTGACCTTGGTTTATCCCCTACCCAAGTTGATACACCTGGGCACCGTCATCAACTTATCTCATAACTCTTCCCATCCAGTATGTTAAGCTCTGTATCCCAAATTTAACCCACAGCCAAACTAAATTGCCCCTTGCCTTTAGTAATTTTGAACTGCCACGACTTTCCTTCATATTTTTGTCTCTTTTTCACTGTCACAGGGAATCTCCCCTCCACCGGGCGCATATTGGATATGGTCGCCGAATTCATCCTTGGTGGTGCACGCCAGACCTTATCGACCGGGGCAATGTCATATCACAAAGCGACCATGGCGACGAGTGGCAAGATCTCACTTGTAGAAAAGTCCCGCCCGGGGTAGATTGTTGGAGAAACACTGAATGCCATAAACCCACCGGTACGCCGTGGATCCTTTTTCTTGTCGCCATTATCATCGGCTGTTGTGGTGGGTCTCATGAATCTTCGTCCTTCGAACTCATCAGCCGAAGTTCCCCAAGCACTCTGAGCTCGGCCTAATTACTTCGCCGGCATGAGGAGCACGGTTCCGGATCTAAGATAGTAATTGTCCGCCAGAACAACATGTGTAACAAAGCGGATCGTTACCATTGTTGACCTTGTCCGTAGAAGCTCTTGATAAATTGATAGAAGAAGTGGGCAATTATCGCGAAGGTACCCAAGATCAATGATGTGCCTACTGTTGGGCGCAATCTTAAGGGCGTTCTATTCTACCTCTTCCCGTATTTCTTCAAGCAGCTTTGGTCTTGGGAAGAGCTCAAAATGAACACAGAATGCAGCAGGAACGGTATTTGCTAGTAATCCTACAACCAGGGGAATCTCCGCATATGCTATCTCTTCGTGAGTAAGTCCAGCCCCGAGAAATGATCTGTACCGCATGGGAGAACAATAACGAAGCACGTATTATTACCTAAATGCTATATTGATCAAATAGCCCTCTTTAATTTAGTATACCAAGAGTTTCTGACTAAACGGCTGACTGCCATATCTCATCCCCCTGGGCCCAAAGCTCCGCGGGTGGCATAGCTGTAAGCATGGGATAAAGCTCTGGGATCACCGAGTCCACAGCAACTCGGAAATATCCTGGATATTCTCCCTCTTCCACTTCGCTCGAATGATCAAAGTTCATATCCAACGCGTACACCCATGGCAGGTCACTGTTCATGGACTCCACAGCGGCAGTATCAGCAAGTAGACACAGGCCCACATCTAATCCCGGAGCCACGCCCTCAGTTTCTAGGTACCCATAGTATGATCTGGCTCGTATCAGTGACCTGTATTGACAACATTGAAATTCCAAGGATGATCTTACTGTTGAATTTGCTGATGAGTAGCACCATGTAATTCCGGATCCTCAAAGCGAGGCATCAAGCATTTATCCATGATTTTCTGACCGCCAGCGGACCTTTCTATCGATAAATCTGTTCGGCGATCATACTCTGCATCCCATTTATCCCAGCGTTCATCATCTGAGTAATCTGTTCGGAAAGTAATGAATCCGAAGTCATCGAATCCATTCTCTTCCACGACCTGGACAACTGCATCATCGGCTATTTTGAATATATCTTTTGGAGGGGCAGGGGGCATGCCCTTTCTCTCGCGACTTAATCTTTGTTCCTCGAACAATTTCGCGAATGAGATAATTGTGTGAGCTCGAACATTGTCGAAGGGGATCAAATCTAAATCAATTTGGCGGATATGCTGAGTTGGTGAGAGGTAGTTAGTACGAATTGATGGAGGGTTCGTTCGAAGGTGGCCATAGCTTACCTCCTCCGGTATTTGACGCAAGTCATCCTCGGTTATGGTTTGAAGTCGCTCTTCGGTCCATCCGGGTGGTAAAGAAGACATCTCCGGCGGATAAACTTAAAGCCTTTGATATGCAATATCTTGGGTCGGAGAGGGAAAAGCTACAACAACGCATATGGGTAAGAAAAAGAAGGAAATTGGAGGGGAAAGATTGCGATATTGAACATAGACGGGGACGGGGCTCGGTAAGGACCCACTCGGTAAGAAAGCTTAGCGTAATTATTCCGTAACATAGGTAGTCGCTGGCCGAATAACGTTCCACAAAGCAGAGAAAGTACCAGTTTCCGACTGAAATCGGTAAAACATTTCTGTTAATAGGGCTTCATCAATACTGAGCTTCATTCGTACTGCCTAATAAAAACCGAAAACAGTGTCCAGGTAACTCACTAGGATCTACCATTTTCGAAAGAAAATATTTCCTTTAGCTCCAAGATTCGATCCCGCTACACATATGCTTAGTTGCAAATAAGCCATGGATGCTCGACCCTGATGGGTCGAACCAAATTGGAAACTACATCTGTGACGAACAGCAAGACATTCCACATCAGCGACCAACTAGGAGAAATGCACGAATTTCGATATGTTTGCTTTGGCCGGACGCCATCTATACTCTGCCTCACGCGAATTCTGGGTATATTTCACTAATATTATTTACACAACCAACAGGTCAAGTCATCAAACCATTTTGACTCAATCTATACAACCGCTTCCTTAAGCGCAGCCTGCTCCGCCAAAGCCTTTAACGATCTCTTCTCTTTTTCAATCCCATTTCGTCGCTGAGCCGTGTCGCACAGCTCTAGATTCCCACATTCACATTCTCCATCCCTAAGCCAACGATAAGTGATGCTCCAACGCTTCCCACGTGGTCTCACCGTCCCATCTGGGAGGGTATCGTTCTTCCGCTTCCTAATGCCATGCGTCCAATGCAGCCTCGAGTCACCACTCATTTGCATCATGCTCCGCGGGGTCAAGTCAACCTCAATGCGTTCCTCGCCCCGGCGGAATATCATCGTCGCCGGTGCACCAAGAGATAACGCGTATAGCTGGTCATATGGCTTGTGTGCATCTACATGGGGCGGGATTCCCGCGCCTGGAGGATAGTACTGCAGACAGACCTGATCTGGTGGTCGGTCCTCGGTTGTCGGGATGAGAGGTTGGAGCCATTCTGGGAATTCCTTGTATGGAATATCGGGGTCTATCCCGAAGGTTTTGTAGTCGAAGCTGTAGCCGTAGTGGAGTGATATCCGGCCAGGGCGGTCGGGCCATTCTAGCTCGTTGGAAAAGACCGAGATGAGTCGTTGCTCGTGTTCGGCATCGACGAAATTATCTTGCCAGAAGATACCGTATGGCTCGGTGGGCAACTCATGGAAATTGCTCCGATCTCCCATAATCACTTTGGACCCTGTCTCGAATGTTGAACGTGGGAATAAAGCGCGTTGAAGCTTTGCGCATGATAACCTTCAAACTCTGATTTTTGGATGTGTGTATTTATCACCGGTATCAATACGCCACCCTATAAATACTTGGTGCATATCTCCGAAATGTTCCACCATCAATGGTTTTGTACTGTATTGCAAAATTACCAATCATCATCAAAATGCCTAGGCGATTCGGTTCTTCAACTACACAAGGATTCACGTCAAATATGTATATTTTGTCTAAAAATATAAAATAAAACAAACCAAGGCCACTTCAACAGATTCACCGTCTACTAAATTCCATCCAATGGAAGAATCTTTACCCAATGTCTAAAAAGTAAAGTACAGTACAAGGAACTCCGTGGTGACGTTAGCGCTTGAAGCCCAACTCGGAATTCCGGTTGTAAAGATGTTCGAACCAGAGCAAGAATCTACTATTGAGCAACACAAATGTATATATATTCCTATGTAGAACATGCCCCAGTCATTCACGCATCCAAAATCATGTACGACATCATCCTTTTCGGAGCAACTGGGTTTACTGGAAAATTGTGTGCACACTTCATCGCGCAGAATCACCCTTCGACCACCCAATGGTGCATTGCAGGGAGGTCACTATCTCGCCTAGAGGCTGTGGTAAAGGAGTTAAAAGAACTCTTCCCGGATCGAGTTCCACCTGGTATGACTCTAGCGTTGATTGCGATTATCCAGATCTGATCTGACATCCACAAAGATATCGAGATCATAGAGCTCAATGCTTCAAGCCTCGAGCCTCTGATACAGAGAACTATGGTGGTGATCAATGGTATCGGGCCATTCCATCGTTTCTCCACTCCCATTGTGGCAGCATGTGCCACGCTCGGCACGCACTACATTGACTTGTAAGCCATCTTCTGCCCCCTTTGGCAATGACTAAAGCTCATTATATAAAGTACCACGGAGATTCCGTGGATCCGAGAAGTGATTGAAAGCTATGGCGAAGTTGCTCGGCAGAGCGGGGCACTGGTCAGTACAAATGACATTCACGGATCAAGGACAGCTTGGAGCTGACATTAGGCAGCTGATACCCGGCTTGTCAACATCAACCCCATCGGATATCATCGCATGGCTGATTGCAAACAAAATTCAAGAGACCTACTCTACCGGCACAGGTGAGATCATTAGTTCTGGAAAGCTTGAGTATGGTCATCCCGCAGTCGCTTTTTAAACCATTGGCTGATTCATCCGCTTTAGTATCAAGGCAATGAGCGCTGGGTCTCTAAACACTGTCCTTGACACGTTCGAAACGTATGGTTCTGGTTGGTACCTATCTGGTGACTCGTCGATATTGTCTCCACCGCCTCAAAGAATGACCTATAAGGCACCTTGGATCGCGCGCGTCTTTGGGTATCGATACGCACAAGAGCTGGGCGCTTTGGCAACCTCCTTCACAGGCCCTGGAAATCAGGCCGTTGTTTACCGCAGCGCCTCTCAGAAACCAGATCTCTATGGACCTGACTTTCACTTTGAAGAGTATCTCCCCGCGACTGGTGTATTATCCGCTGTTTTTGTGCATCTCCTCACCAAATTTCTTCTTGTCCTTTTGTCCATTCCATTCATCCGTGGGCTCACGCGAAAGCTAGCCTTACGCATGGATTCAGCTCCCGACCTAAACCAGCTGCGGCATGTGGAGCGGGCAGAGTTTCGTGCGGTTGGCAGCGATAGTAAAGGGGCTGAACCTAGAGTTTGGGCATCCTTTGCGCGAGAAGGGGCGTTATATGAGCTCACTGCACTTGTTACCTGTGTCGGAGCAAGGGTGCTCCTTGATCGCAAGATAAGTGCCGACATGGCGGGAAAGGACGCTCGTGGACACGGTGGAGTGGTCACACCATCGTTTTTGGGGATGGAATATGTCGATCGGTTGAAAGATGCTGGGATCAAGATTGAAGTTGGATTGTTGTGAAGGAAGACTCGAGGTTACTGGGCACTTATCAGCGGTTTGACTCACCCATGTATATTTCCATCTTGAGGATTAGGTTTTGATTTCCGTTTTTAGTCCACGGTGTATTTAGATGGTTTCCATAGAATTTTCAGGGTTGCACCTTCTCTTTGTGTGATAAGTCACAAGGTTAATAATACTGGCAGTCTTGTATGGCACTTAGGCACTCTCGAAATAACGATTCCATACAAATTAGTCAATACCAAAGTTTTGTCCTTCACAATTGACCTTTTCTTATATCCTCTGCCTATCTTTTTTTGTGATTTTTTTGTTAGATCTTTCAATTTTCTATTTTATCTGAGTGTAAAATCATCGCCCTTATCACGCCGGAGTTACCCTAGAAACCCCGTCAACCCGGAACTCCGAGTTCTAGTAAGCGCATAGTGGGGGCTTGGTCACTACCACATCATCTCTTTCAAGACTACTTATATACGACGAGTACTCCAGTATTATCGTGTTCAACTTATAGATCTACGGAATTAAAATCTTCCACCATGTCACGCAAAGCCCATGATATTAGCTCTGAGCGTCTGTTGGTAAGCAACACTTTGCCCATTCTCCCCAAACAGACTTCTCATAGACCAAAAATAGATCACGGGTGCCACTGGCTACATTGGATTCAAAACTCTCACAATTGCCCTCGAAAGGGGATATCATGTTCGCGCTGTCGTCCGAAGCGAACGAAATATCAATGAATTGAAAGAAAAAAGTACGATCATCGCAGAGAGTATTGATCAGGAGCAACTCGAGTTTGTTGTCATTCCAAACTTTCTTAAATCAGATGCAATTTTCAAGTCCCTTGAGGGGATAACTGTCATCATTCACCTTGCATCACCTTTAGCAATTGAGGTAATTTATGCGCAACGAACTGGGTATTTCTCGCGGCTTACATTTTTTTTTGGCAGGCCGATGATTATGAGGTTGGAATCGTCAAGCCAACCATATCAATGGTGACTTCAGTTTTAGAAGCAGCCACTCGCGTGTCAACAATCCGCCGTGTGATATTAACATCGTCGTGTATGCAATTCCTCGCTCTAATTTTGACCTAGGAAGCTAACTCCTTCCACAGGCGTGACCCTAATTCCATTTGAATGGAATATCAACCCCGACAGCCAGCGACTATACACAGGTTAGTCTTCTAACCCGTCTATTTACGGTTGAATGCCAACTCATCATTTATTTCGACTTTCAGTGGATGATGTGAATACCAGTGTTACCGGACCTTTCTCAACTGCAATGGAAGCTTACTGGGCATCTAAAGCTCTTGCAAGAGTTGCGACCAAAGCATTTGTTAATCATGCGCGCCCAAAATTCGATTTTGTCAATCTCCTACCCTCGGTGGTGATTGGACCAGACGACCGCCTAGACGCAGATCCAACCGCAACGGTCGACAGCCTCCTCCAGGGCACGCGGGCAGCGGTTCTTGCACCCGCGTTGACTCCCTCGCTCAACTCTTCGTTTCCCTACGTTGGAACGCCAGTTCATGTTGCCGATGTCGCGCGCGCGCATGTCGATGCCGTAGATGGTGGTTTGGTTCCTGGAAATTCTGAATATATTCTCTCTTCAGATACTCCAAGTGGAGTAGTCTGGGATAGGGATGTTCAAGCTGCCTGTAGGAAGTTCTTCCCAGAGGAGGTAGCGAGTAAAAGGTTGCCGCTTGAAGGGTCTTTAACCGCAATAAAATGGAGGCTAAGTGCCCGGCAGACGGAGGAAACATTTGGTTGGCAGTTTATCAGCTTTGAGGAGACTATAAAACAGCTCGTCTCGCAGTACTTGCGACTCGAAGAAAGGCCGCTCAAGTGATTTTAACGTGGTCTCGTGGGGGTTTTCTGATTGCAGATAGAACAAGGGGTGCCGCTAATATAAAATGAACCCTCTGAAGCTCTATTTCAGTTGGAAATATTTCAATTTATTCAGTAAAATTCAAATCGTGGACTCCATGCCATGTGATTCATGCACGATAAATATAAAGATGTAAATCATTTACCTTGCGTGTTTAAAATTCTAGAACAATCCTCAACTATTGCAATTGTCGGTCGAATAGGAAACTCCAACATCGTGAACTATGTTTTTGAGGCGGCATGGTAATACAAATAAGAAAAGATATATCTTCTGCTTTTTGCGCCAAGTTTAATTAATGTACAAGTATTTATTTTGGAAGATACACAGCCTCCACGTTATTTCCGTCCAAATCAATCACAAAAGCGGAATAGTATGGCTGCCGACTCATTTCTTTCCTGATCCCTGGGCCTCCATTGTCTCGACCGCCATGTTGTCTGAAATAGGGTTAGTATCTAGTCATATGAATACAATGGATGTAGTGTGTTATATCTCAATGCTGGGGTCCGACTTACAGCGCCAGCTTGTAGAATTGATCTACAGCTTCGCGGCCTGGTTTGCCTGTGTTAGAAATTCTTCAGAAATTCAATGATGGACATGCTCACTTGGGGCATCAAACGCGATGTGAGTTGGGAGAGGTTCTTTGTCTTCAGGCAGCCTTTTGAGCCAGAAGTAAGGATAGTCACTGCCATAGCCGATCAGAGCATCGTTTTTTACACGAATCATCTCGGTGTATCCAATCGGCTGCAGGATAGCGCGATAAAATGACCGCAGTGTTGTGTACTTGGCAGCGGAGGCCCAAAAGAAAATATGATTAACTGTCATTTTCTTGAAACTTGAACGATAATATCCTGATAATTCACCTGTGGTTTACTTCCGTGGGTGCACGGGGTTATATACTTCCAAGGTTCCAAACCTTGGTCAACCCGCATCCCAATCGATAAGCAACCCGGAGTTCCGAGTTAAATCGAACTTCATTTCAATCAACGCCCACCTCCTTTACTCCAAGAGCAACCAAGCCCCGCAATCAAAATGCAATCCACTGAGAAAAACTCCGACTGTCCGTTTTGTGCCACCCAGTTCAGTCATCGTACGCTTGGAGCCTTCCTCATTTGAGCCTAGAGCTAACACCACTACAGGATCGTCGCTTATCCGCCACCTAAAGAACAACTGTAATAAATCTCAATCACAAACCCGAAGACGCAAGTCATGCCATCAGTGTGTCGCAGATAAATCCAGGTGCAACTTGAAACGTCCTAGTTGCTCTCGGTGTTCTGTGCGAAGCATACCTTGTCAATATACCAGCGCAGATACAACTGACACCCCGGAGATCGATAATAACAACGTCAGAATCAATAATGATACCCTCAGCGTTTCTTTGCCAGAAGCATCACTCATGACCCAGCCATATGAGTTCCAATCAATCTTCGACCCTAATTTATTCGATTCTTTTTTCTCGGGTTCAGATCCTTGGGATCCGACACAGCTCACAAGTCTTGCTTTACGTTCTCCACAGGCAGGCAGCGCGGAGCTCTTCTCTTTAAATAACAGCAGTGGATGTGACACGCCAGAGCTAATCCGAGCTACCCCACCCCCAAATCCTCTGTCGGGTTCGCCGGCGGACACAAATTCAATAGCCCTAGCGAATCATAGCATGGAGCTTATCTTCCGAGTTCTTCGGACTTGGCCAGAAATGCTCGCCGAAGAGTTTCAACTTCCTCCTTTATTCCACTCAACCCAGATTGCACCAAATAAAACACTCCCATCACCACTAGCGAACTGTATAACCTTGACCAAAATGTGGCATGGGCAATGTGAAGGCGCAGAAGAGATGGTGCGGAAAACAATTTTAAAAGAACTTGACAGCATAATAGATCAGGTCAGTCTCTTCCATTTGTCTTTTCTTCGTCGTTCTGACTAACTCGACATTGGGCTGTCCACGAGTAGTCCGAGCAGCTCGACGAAATAACCCTGCTAGCCGCCTTACAAGCAGTGGTCATATATACGATCATTCTGATATCCCCATCAGCAAGCTCACCGCGCCCCATGATCGACCACAGCGTCATCTTTCGCAAAGTGGAACTCCTGGTTTATCATGTAGTCCACGGGGGCCTATTCCTTCAGGAAGAAAGAAAACAAATGAGACCATCCTGGGATGCCTGGGTACAAGTAACATCGAAGCGACGTGCAATCCTTGCCTTATATCTCCTCCACTGGGCATACTCGGTGTTGCATAAGGTGCCATGTTTCGACTGCAGGGACCTCGGGTTCATGCCTGCACCAGCAGCGAAGGTTCTTTGGCAGGCACAGACAGAACAAGAATGGAACACTCGTTATATCCATTGGCTGTCGCGGTGGAGTGGCAGGGGTTATCTTCAAGCTGAATTTGGTAAGATCAAACCAGGTGTCATCATGGATACACGGGCGGAAAGATGGTTGGGAGAGGCTGATGAGTTCGGGTTCATGATGATATCGATTGGTAAGTGGTGACTCGAGTGGTGGGGAAGAATGAATTTATGCTGACCTTCGCAGTTAACGCTAGTGAGTTCGATCCGCCGTCGCTCAAGCAATTATCTCATTGAGCCACGAGAAAGAAAACATATCAAAGGAGTTGAGAGGGCAACCGCCATTTAATAGGGAAGGGTCGACCCGCGTATCGCAGTCACATAAACAGATGTCTGAAAGGATATTAAATTGTTTCTCGATAGATTTAATGAATAACCCCATGTTCAAGGATGTTTATATAAAAATTTTAAGTGCTATAAATTACTTCCAAGGAAATGTAAGATACACCCACCAGCTTGTGGCGTCAGACTGAACAAGGCTCAATTGTTGTCGAAATGCAACATCGTACCCCGCACCAATGAGGGTCAAACGATATACCCCCCACTCCATTGATAGGCAATCTTTAGTGCGGGGGTGCAGTATGGAACAGCACAGGGACACATCTTTACCCCTTGCATCCTCTCGTCAACTTATAAATTGCAACAACCCCCTTGTGTCCTACGCAACTTCTCATTCAAACCCAGACACTGACCATCACCAACACAGAACTGGCATTGAACCTCATTCAGACTCACGACTTCGAATTCAACATGTATTCCCCAAAAGTTGGCGATAGGGTCGATACCCTCGATACACCATCCATGATCGCAGACCTCGATCTCGTCGAGGCCAACATCAAGAAGCTAATGGACAAGCTGTTACCAACTGGCCTCGACATCCGTCCCCATCTGAAAACAACAAAAAGTGCGATCCTAGCCAACAAAATGGTCAAAGCGGGCGCGAAGGGAGGCTGTGTAGCAAAAGTGAGCGAGGCCGAAGTTATTGCCGCGGCCGGATTCGACGACCTGTTTATCACCTGTGAGATCATCGGCCCCGCAAAGGTACAACGGCTGGTGGAACTGTACCGCAAACACCGCAAGATCAGGATAGTTGTTGACAGCGAAGCTGGCGCCACGGCTATTGACGAGGCTTTGGCAAAAGCCGGTATCGACGAACCTATCTCGGTTCTGATTGACCTCGATGTTGGGCTCCATCGCACCGGTGTCCTACCAGGTGACCCAGCCATGACCCTAGCACAACATGTGCAGGGTTTGAAGCATTTGAAACTGATTGGGCTCCACGGCTATGAGGGTCATTTACAGCATTTGCATGATAAGGAAGATCGGAAGAGTCAATGTCTTCAGTCCATGGAGACCCTCACGAACACTGCAGATGTGCTGCGGAAGGCAGGCTTCAACATTGAGGTCGTCACTACTGGGGGAACTGGAACTGCTGAGTTCTGCGCCACTGTACCAGGTGTCACAGAGCTCCAGCCTGGATCGTTCATTTTCATGGATACGGATTACCGAAATGCCGTGGGCACATTCTATTCCAACAGTCTCACGATTCTGTCAACTGTTCTGAGCAAACAAGGTCCTCGGTCGGTCACGATTGACAGCGGATTGAAATCTTTGACGACAGATAGTGGCTTGGCAGAGTGTAAGGATCCGAGATACACCTACGGTGTTCTTGGTGACGAGCATGGCTCACTCAGTTGGGAGGAGGGTACCCCAGCGCTTTCGGTTGGGGACCGTGTTGAGATGGTGCCGAGTCACATTGACCCTACGGTAAATTTACACGATTTCTATTACGCCCATCGAGGGGGAGTCATTGAAGAAATCTGGCCAGTCGATTCGAGAGGCAAAGTTCAATAATTGCCGGGTCAACTTGTCGATCTCTGGGGTGTGCTAAGAACGGAAATAATAGAATGCTGGGCTTGTGGCCAGATATTTTATTACGAAGAATCAAAATAGATAAAATGAGAGTTTCTGTTCATCATCTATGTAACGACATAGAAGTCTCCACGATTGCACAGTCTGTTCTAATATCTCCCTTCCTTCAAATAAAATTCACGAATCAAACGCCTTGGCAATGATGGAATCACCGCATTCATAAATTCAGGAACACATTAAAAGATGAATTTCACTTGACGATTCAACAAATCACGAGGTCTGGTAAACCTTGAAGCCACCAAACTCCCAGTACGCTGTACTGAAACTAGTCGCGTTATCCCGCACAAATGTCGTGCAGTTACTAGGGCAGTTACTTTGTGTCGTGTAGTACTTGCTCGCTCCCGCCCAGTCACCACACAGAGAGATATTGATGATGATACTCTGGTTCTTGAAATGAGAACCGATGTCGCAATCCGTGCTGGGGAAGTCTGCGAGTGCCGTGCCCCAGGTGGATGGATCGGGACTTCCCGAGGTGATATCGGATGGGATCTTAGAGCGGACCCATTGCCATACGCGAATACCGGCGTCACGGAGTTCCATTGCGTAAACCTGAAGGAAGTGAGTATTAGTAATTTGGATTTGACGGAAGAACCATGAATAGTCACTTACTCCGCCACCATTGCTATTGAACTCAGGACCATAAGTACTCTCAGCGCCTTTCACGCCACAGCCCGTGTAATCATTCGCCTCGTAATAACAGTCCGTGTTAGCAACACTGCCACTTTCTTTCCGTTTAACGCCCATGGAGCAGCCTTTCGATGTGTGGAGCGTCGATTGGCTTCCAAAGGTTCCAGCATTGGTAGCTTCCACGACATCAATTTCTCCATGCTCGGGCCAGTTGCTGGGGTCTGTCAGCCACAGGGCCGGCCATGTACCACACCCGTACGGGGTGTGGATAATGTCGAAGATGAAAAGTCCATCAGCATAGGTATTGTTGGACGTGACTCGCACAGATTGGCGCCCGTTAGCGGCCTCCGTTCCGCTGTATGTCGTGTCCACCTTGAGAACCGCGGAGGTATCCGTGGCGGATGTTAGATTAAGCCATGTGGCTGCAGCTCGATCTATATACCTGGATTACACGTTAGTTGGGTTTCTTGGCCTGATATTTGACATGCAGGAGTCATACTGAACAAATCCATTGGTAGGGTCGGCAGCAGTAAAATATTCAAAGTTATCGAAAAAGGTCGATCCCGAAAAGTTGTCTTTCAAACTGTAGTTCAGTTTCGAGTAATTGGGGTACCGATTGGCTCGCACTCCTAGAACAGCACCAACGACAACTGCCACAATCACTACGACAATGCCAGCCGCTAGAAAAATCTTCTTCATCACAGACCATCCCCGCGGGTCCCATCTGGAGTATTGATCTGTAGGGTAATAATCCTCGTGCATCTTGAATGGCGGATGCCTAATTGATAGCGTCGTATGCGCCAAGCAATGCGAAATAACAATCACGCTAGGTTAAACAAGTGAAGAACTAGTGAAGAACGGCAAAGGTGAAAATGAAGACGGATTCAAAGCAATGCACAATGAGAAGTGAAGAAGTGATAAAAAGCAAAAAAGAAAAAGCAATTCTCCAAGAAAATTCGCCTTGTAAGCAGGCCACGCGTTAGATAAGCGGGGCGATTAGGCCAGGCTGAGCAGAAGCCGGTAGGCATGTGGATATCTCGGAGAGTCTCCACTTTGATAAATAAATAAGAGGCACGTGATTACATATACATAACAGAATCTGCCCAGGTATGCTCCCGAGAGGTTTGCAGGGTTTACTTACGCTCAATGCCTAGGCTTCTCCAGAACCTAATTGGACCCGGACCTAACCCAACCCAAACCTTGGACCTAAAGTCACACCGCATAAGTTTCCGTGATCCCGCTCCCACGTCAAAATGTAGGTATATATCTCACCTATACATTTCAACTAATTATTGCATACTATAATATTCATTTAATATAGTAAAAATAGTACATTTAAGTACGTATTTTCTTAGAGAATATAGTAATAATATTTATATATTTTTAGTATCTTATATACCAGCCCTCAGCAGCAATAACTACCTTACACCGACGATTCATACTTCGAATCAACCTATCAAAGTAATCCTAGCCTAGCTCCTCCTATACTTTATAAATTAACTCCTAGAAATACGTAACTAACTACTCTTTGGTTCTAATAAATTTATTAAGATCGGGATCAAGGCGATCGATTATCTCTTTTAGCTTTCCCTAGTTTTTGAATTCAGTTTGACCTCACACTCTTTAGACTTAATTCCCGGAAAATAAATTCAAGATACGCTAATCCTTTTTAGTGCCACCGCTCTATTATTTGGGCAGAATTGTTGTAGTAATGACCACACCACGATCTAGGACGTATTGTAATAAGACTGTAATGATATATCGAATCCCCTAGAACCGCTTGGTAGATCTGTCAAGATCGTCTACCCACTAAGTCTCGCATTAGGCCAGTGACAATAATTATACATGTCGCTCTCATATTGATATTTATATCTGAAGAAAGCTATGCAGGTCTCACATTCATAATCGGTTGAAAAGAATGCTGAAGAATACGAAAACAGATTATGCTGATCATCGCCTGTAAGCGGTAAACTCCAGGCACAGGAACACGAGGTAGGCAAGCAAGAGCACTACACCTGCACTCCTTCCTAGTCCCAAAAAGATGACTACACAAAATACCAGAGAGGACACCCACACTGCGACCAGCTCAAAAAGCACAAAATTATCCGCCTCTTGTACTTGACCCCCCGCCACTACGACGACACCAAGACAGAGCGTCAGCAGGAAAATGTTGCTTCCGGCCGTCGTCGCAGCCATAATGCCGCCGTGGCCGCGGGAACCACTGAGGATTGCAACCAGTTTCTCTGGAAGAGTAGTGGCAAAGGAGACAACGGTCAGACCGAAGACGGTTCCCGAGAGATGGAGGGAGTCGGCAATAGTGACAGCGCTGTGGGAGAGGAGGTATCCTGACATCGAAAGCGATATGAATCCGAGAATTAGCTGGAATATGTGGTAAGGAAGGCTTCTACTTCGTCTGCTCCCTTTGTCTATTGACGACGGCGCATGCTCATTCTCGATGAGAGGAGAGGTCTCGGAGTGAGGGGCATGATGGACGAATTCGCCGTCATCGCTATCACTTGATTCCCCGCCGCTATCACTATCCGATAGCTCTGGGGGCGAGGCTACACCCTTGTAGATAGCATAAACTATAGAGACGATGTAGAGACCAAATATGGCAATCAAGACCCCACCGACGATCTGGTTCAATTGGTTGAAGAATGCCAGCACCACGAAGAGCGTCGTAACCACGAACAGCAGGGCCGAATATATCTTCGCGCTGCGGTCAAACTCCAGACCCTGGGGGGAAAAAAGGAGCCCCAAAGAAAAGGCGCCGAGAATGTTGGAGATAGTCGAGCCCATAACGTTCCCAAGGGCCAGGGGGCTGCGATGCTGCAGAATAGCGGAAACTACCACAGCGAGCTAATAAGGGGATTAGCCAGGATAGACATTGAATCAGATTGCACTGAATTGCAGACCTCTTCCCATTCAGCACCAGCTGTCAAGAGGGCAATGACAGTTTGCGAGATGCCCAGGCGCCGCCCGACGATGACAGTGTGGTCGATGAACTTGTCTGCGCCATAGTCAAGGACAAACACGCCTGCAAGCAAAGTGACAATATTGAAACACAAAGCATCCCAATCCATTGTTGTCTCCGAGCCTATTTCATGAATGTCGGGGGCAATGGGAAAATAGAAAAGGCTGATATAAGATGAAAAGGTCACCTGAATAGGTCTTGAAAATCAAGCTTTGGGTTCTCATCGACCGCCTTCCATAATAACTGGTTAATTCTCAGGAACGTCCACGGGTGCCAGTCATGGTTAGTCATCCACCACGTGGGACCAGAAACTTTCTATTTCCAGCGAGGACCCCCTTAGGTTTATATCTAACTTTCAATAGCATATATAGAAGTCAATTGTGCTGCACCTGAGTATAACAAGCAGCGAGCCCAATCCCAACGGGACGCACTTGTGGCGCTCTACGAAGTGATTAGGAAGCTTATCCTGGAGCGAACGGATATCGAAAATGAAATAATTCGCCAGCATTCCGTCTTTGCCGAGCAAATTACGTGCTTCTTTACAGCACAGAGATACCTCCAGAGCATATTGGACAAGATTGCAGCTGGGTTTGGAATCGCATCGAAGAAATAATCTACCGACACATTCAATTCATCGCTTGTCGGTCACTCGCACGCCGATGGGATAGGGAATCCGACCCTCAAAACGGATGTCGGGGTTAAGAATTTGTCTATTATATTTAGGTAAGATCCTCCTTTGTCAATATGCACCGTATCATCACACACCAGTGTCTCACCTAGGGAGTGGACAGCAACTACAAAATGGAACCTAAGCTGGACAGCAAGATAGTCCTGTCATGTCAACCACGGGATATTTCCAAGGCTGAAGAAGTCATGGCGCTCCTTGATGGAACGACCCTAGGTCGACCTCTAGCCAGATTTATTCCGGGAACTCGCAAATCTAGTCACCACTTATATATCCTCCTTAGTGATCAAATGGGGAAGGGGTCACGGTTTGGCTTTTATTTCCGGGCTTGGAATACTAGTAGTCTTTAGCAAAGGATCATGAAGAACAATAACTAGGCTTTGCTTTGATTCCACCCCTTTACTGACAAGAAGCTGATTAGAAAATGCAACTTCTTAGTCCAGCATTTATATGGTCGTGGTCTAACCCAAGACTCTTCTTTGTACGCTCATGACTTATCATCTGGTGGTGACCTTGCTCAACAAAGTCCGCGTCCGAGTTACTACTCTACGCACTAACAACCAACCTTCGCATGTCCCGTCTTCTTTCTCCTCACCTTGCTCTCTTCTCCATACTCCTCAGTTCAACCTCACTTCACCCGTCTTCAACCTCAATTTTCTTTCTATTCCCACATTATTTCAACCACGTTTCGAATGCATCTCATCACCCTCACCACATCACATCTGCTGAGTCTTATTCACCCTCAACCCCATCCTTTCGGTATGATCTGCGAGAATTTAATGCAAATTTTCTCTGAGACATGGCTAACTGCTATACGAAGATGTCTCTCCCGGAGTTTTCCCACGACCTGGTCGAGGTCGAAAATGACCTAAAGGCCACAACCGGTAGACCTCGCCCTGTCCCGGATTCCACTAAGCGCGCACAACGGGACGCACTCGTGGCGCTCAACGATGTTATCAAGAAGCTCAATTTAGAGCGAACAGATATTGAAAATGAAATCATCCGCCAGCGTGCTGTCCTCGCCGATCAAATGGCACGTCTCTCTACTACGAATGAGAACATCCAGAGCCTACAGAAAGTGTGGGAAGACATGGCAGCTGGGTTCGGACTACCGTGCAAGAAGTGAACTGTCAGCTTATTGAGTCCATCCCTATCGAACACCGAAGGAATCACGGGGTGGCGCTGTTGTTCCAGGGGATATGAGCATTAGCAAGGAGTGTTTGAAGGTCGCGAATAAGAACACCCTTGGCTCTAATTTTACATGACTACTGCCAAGAAGCTATTTAGCTGATCCTCGCTTCTTCCCTACTTGTCTTCCTATCGCATTTCATTTTTCAAATCTTACCTTCAGCCTCGCTGTCTTTCAAATCCAACTTCCCTCCACCTGGCTCATCTCCCTCAAACATCACAACCAATCCTCTCGCAAACAACCTGTAAACCTGTAAGAATGTAACTTCAAATAAATTACGCAATATGGCTAGTGCTTAATGTTATACAGCAATGTCCATCACCAAGCTATCCCCCAACCTCATCGCCGATGAGCCTAACGCTATAGCAGTTCCTAACCCTAGCAGCGCAGCCCCACCCCCAACCCCGAATGGACCCTCAACAACACGTATCATTCAACCTTTGTGAGATTATCAACAAAATGATCCTAGATTACGACGTTGTCGAAAGTATCATAATTCGACACCGTGCAAGACTTGCCCGTCAAATTGCGTGCCTCTTGAAAGTGCAGCGACACATCCGAAGCATCCAGAACAAATGTGATACGATGGCAGCCGGGCTTAGACTCGAATCCAAGAAGTAGGCGACTGGTAGATTACGAAACTCTGCCCTTTTTTCAATTTTAGATTTTCGCAACTAGGTTCTCGTAGAAATTAGAACACTGTCAACACTCTATGGAGAACCTGGTCCCACCAGCAATTTAAAACCTTCTTTTCTTGGTTTGCTCTATAGCACGTATAGGGGAATCTTTCCTCTGAGTTTAAGCGCTTCGCATCAGGTTCAAACTACTATAGTGGTCAACTTCAACTAGATCTATGTGTACATCGAATCTAGTAATCCTAGGGGCGATGCGATGAAAAATGCGAAAGTCGGTTTCAGCTGATCATAAAGCACATGAAATAAGATGAATCAAGGATAACTTCGCCTTCATATAACGTATATGCCCCACGCCTAACTGTGTCAACAGCTCTGAATCAAAGCTTTTCACCCCTCATGCCTTTTGGCCGTTCCTTCGCACAACATCACAAATGAGCCCCTCCTGCTGCACAAACCACACATTTTTTGTTTTCCATTCTTTCTCCGGGCCGTGCATCTGGAATTCAAACTCCCGAAGCAGCTGCGGTACAACTTTATGCATCTCCATGAGGGAAATGTTCTTTCCGATACAACTCCGTGGCCCATGGCCAAAATTGAAGAAGGTTTGTTCCATCTCCTTCAGCTTTTCCGGCCGAGAATCTAGCCATCGCTCAGGGATGAACGATTCGGGATCAGGAAAGACACGACTATCCCGGTGTAGAACCCACGCGTTGATACCGACTGTTGTTCCACCAGGTATATGCTTTCCGGAGATAGTCACTCCTCCATGTGGGACTTCGCGCTCGAGGGCCTGTCCAACCGAGGGATGTAGGCGCATAGCCTCCTTAAAGACTGCACCCAAAAATGGAAGGTGTGTCAAAGATTCGCGATAGGACACTGGGTCACTGATTTTTCCGTCGCGAGATGCGTCGTCGATCTCACTATGAACTTTGGACATGACGTCTGGATTTTGCATAAGAAGATATACGACGGCACGCAGGGCAATGGCAGTGGTGTCAGAGCCCGCAAAGACATTCGTTGAAAGATGAACGACAACATCCCTCGTCGATAGTTTCTGGGGATTTTCTCGATGAACGGCCATCCATCGTGATAGCATGTCCGCTCCGTCTTGCTTATTTTCCTCTTTGAGCTCACCATCACGCTTCAAAGGGATTCGAGAGCTCATCGCCTTCAGTGTGAACTGAAGGACCTTATCCCAAGATTCCATGCTAGGAACAAATATCGGGAAAAGCGGGTTTCCAAGCAAAAGGGGATGCATTTCGGGAATTTGCCCACACAGACTGGCATATACCAGCATTCCCTGAATGGCCTCAATCATCCCATCGATGTCTCGCCCTTCTTCGAGGAAACCTAGTTTTTTCGCGAATACAAACTCTCCGACCACGTCAAAAGCGTAGTATTGCAACCACACTCCCAAATCAATAGGCTTCTTTTGATCGGCCTGGCTACCCAGTTTGGAAGCGAAAATCCGTGTGCACGAATCTACTGCAGGTTCGAGCTCAAGGAGTGAGGTCATACTGTAGGCGTTGGCAACTTGTCGCTTTTGCTCACGATGAAATTTCTCGTCACGACCAGAGAAAAGATTCACCTGAGCCTTTTTGTTCCAGGATATGGACTGGATCGGATAAAGCGCGGTCTATATCACAGCGCTTAGTCTTGTACAAAAGCTTTTCCCTTGGCCCAGGATGAATAGAAAAGAATTATAATGAAGAAAATCGACATACCTTGGTGAAACCTTTGTTCAAGCCATATATGATGGGTACCGCTGTCGGATCGCTGACCGACACGTGGTTTGGGCCGATGCGCACCAAGTAGCCATGCTTGCGATGCAGATCAATGGCAGTTGTATGATGGTCACCCTTCCATACACTGTGAAGCTTCCACAGCCGGGTCCACTTGGCGATTGTGGGGCCAGGAATATCTCGAAGACCTCTCTTAAAACGATTTGTAAGGAGGCGGAGAACAAACGCTATCAACACGAAGAAGACAACATAGGTCTTCATGGTGAATTTTGGAGTCAAGCTTTCCATGATGTATCATACAGCGATTCAAAGTTGTGAGTGCGGATTTGAAAACCAGGCTTCTCTGGAGATTAGATATTTGCATGAGGCAGTGGTCACAACCCCTCATATAAAGTTATCGGCCCGTTGATTCTTGTGACCTCCGGAGTCTCATTTTTATCCAATAGAGGTCCAAGCGACCTTGGGATGGCCAATCAAAGATCCAATGCGTCAGCAAAATGCGGGGACACCCGGGCACCCGTGGACGGGGAGGGGCCCCGGGGGCAGGTGCGGGTGTAAGCGGGGCCAAGTCCGTAGTGGGGCATTACATCATCACGCTGGCCTTGTGTGTGCCAAATACCCAAGGGAGAACATTCAGATATTATTATTCGCCTACAGCTGTCGCCCCAGGTGGCTTGTGACTAGAATCACGCATGTCATTGAGCTTCTAAAGTCTGATTCTACTGGCTTACAGCAGTTTCGCTATGCAATGTCTGGATTTACCAGCACGCGAAGAAGTGAATGCTACCCGGTCGAATCATGGCGAAGTCTAGAACCAATTTATGATCATATCGACCAAACAACAATCCGTGCAGCAGGATTATATCAGCAAGCGAGTTCACAATCTACTCAAGCGATTCAGATAATTTAACGACTGCTACGAGGTCGAAACCTGGCTGACAATGCGAATGTTGAGCAATCGGGCCCAGATACACGTTCTGCACGAAGGAAGACTATGATTTTTGACTAGACTTCGATATTTTTCTCTAAAAGCTGTTTGACAATCACCGGCCTCGACGGACTTCCCTCAAAGCCTGTAACCTTTAAGCTCCGTAAAATAAAAGCCCCCAAGCCCACATTTCCTTACTTAGCCCCAGCCCTGACCAAATCCCCGAACCTCGTCTCCGCCTGTCCAGCCAGCACCGAAGGATTTCCAACCTCCACAATCTCTCCCGTATCCATCACAACAACCCTATCAAAGTCCATAATCATATCCAGCCGATGGCTGACCGCTATGACTGTGTAGTCCTTGAACTCCACCCTGATAATATCCTTCATAACACGTTCCGTCTCGTGGTCAACACTCGAGCTCACCTCATCCAGCAACAAGATACCACAGTTTGAGCCATTCCGTGCCCGGATGAAACGTCTCAGTAGCGCACGTCCAAGTGACATGAGTTGCCGTTGACCCGCGCTGAGCGTGCCCGCGCTCATGGCTGCGTCCAGCCCACCCCGCTCTTGGACGAACTTCCACAGGTCCACAGCGACAAGCACAACTTCGCATTCCTCGGGTGTTGAAACGTCAGACGGATCCAGGTTTGCACGGAAGGTGGACCCATCCGGTAGGAATACGGCCTCCTGGGGTACTGCAATTATGCGCTCACGGAGTGCAGCGCGGTTTATGCGGTGGAGTGGCGTGTTATCAATGATTGCGTTCCCGGCTGTCTCAGGGAGTGGATCGAGGATCTTGAGTAGTAAGGCCATGAGACTAGACTTGCCGCTGCCGGTACGACCGCAGATGGCGACTCTCTCGCCTGTCTTGATAGTGAGGTTGATGTTGCGGAGGGCTATCTTGGACGTGTTGTCGGGTTGATCTTCTGCGCTACTCAATGCATTAGTACATTTTGTAATTCGCGCAGTATCTATGAAGATGTATCTCTCTTACCTGTAACTTGCAGATACGCCCTTTAATTCCACCACACCATTATGTGGCCACTGGATAGGAGGGACAATGTCCTCTTCCTCTCTATCCTCAGGCTTTACGTTTTCATTGAACAACTTGAGACGGGCGATCGCTCCAATCGAAGTTTCTAGCTTGGTGTAGAATACGACAATTCCCGAAATGCTCTCACCGAAACTCATGAGGGAGAACAAGGAGGCACCCGCAAAACCAGAGCTGGAGTGGAGCCGAACGGCGAGAGTCGTCATGACTACTGCAATAACCATGACTACAAGATCGAGGACGAGGGTCAGCCACTGTTGAATCATAAGAAGGAGATAAGCAGGTCGTTGGCTGGCATCAATTAGGCGAGTATTCTTGTCGACATCGTCGGGAATGAAACCTGTGTATCGGTAGTGTCAGCAATGCCATGTCATAATCCGGGGTTTCCAAAGCTTCTTATCAGATTTGCTTTCAGTTTGGTTTTCATTTTGCATATCACTCACCGAAAGCTCTCAGAGTTGTAATTCCCTTGACAGTGTCAAGGAAATGTGTGCTACATCAATGCAGATTAGTTACAAGAATAAAGCATTAAATGGCAGCAACCAGCCATTGACTTACTACAAAGGACTTTTAGCCTCAAGGTCTAACAACCTCAGCTGCCTGGATGTCCGAAGGTAGAACATTTGTAAGATCCACAATAGGGCGACGAGGAATGGGTAGCTTATGGCCAAGTAGACAGACGAGGTAAGCATAACAGCCGCTTGTCCGAGTGCTTGAAAGACCTGCAATCTGTGTCAGACATTTGGACGGACGTTGAGGACTCCGTGCATGCGAGTAGCAGCCACTGCAGAGTTTCAATTGGTATGTAATCGTAATAAACTTACGGAAAAGATCGTGTTCATTGTTGCATTTGGCAGCTCGGTGTCAATAAGATTCAGATCTTGCGAGAACAGATTTGTGACAACACCAGTATCCGTATTGGTGAAAAAGGATAACGGTGCTTGAATAAGTGTCCGCAAGGCATCCTGGTGAAGACTAGCACCTGCCCTTTCCACGGAAACGATTAAGATCAAGATGCCGAGGGCAAGCAGTGTGACCAAGCCGCAGATTTGAAACAAAGCATATATCCCTGCGTAGTAAGCGTAAGAGTGCGTTGGATGCTCCGAGGAGATGTCATCGGTCCAGTATGTAAGCCCTGCAAGATTTTGAATTAGCTACAACACTTTGATTTTCAAGATAAGCTGCATTTCTCTTGAATAAAAGGCCACAACCGTCGTGATTTTCTTCTATCTGAGGAGAGAGGCGACTCACAGACTGTTGGAAAGTTCGTGAAGAAACCAAAAAGAACACCGACGAGCAAACTGCCTCCTGCCAGAAACCATCCCATGCTCTTGAAATAATGCTTGTATACCGTCTTGTCGCCAATTTGCCGCGATGCATCCGCATCCGGTACAATGGACGATGTATTGGTCATTGTAGTTTGAAGCATTTCCGGCTTTGATTCCTCCCAGGTTTTCTTTGGGGTCGATTTCTCAGCTGAGACAGTGTCATCGGAAGAGCCCTTCAATCCCAGACGTTGAACATATCCTTGACTGTCCATCAGTTTTTGAAAGCTACCCTGCTCAACAATGGTGCCGTTGCCGAGTGCTATTACATGATCAGCGGCGGGGAGGTGCCTGATGCTGTGGGTGCACAACACAACCGTAGAGCCCCGTTGCTTGAGCAGTCCATCTGGCCCAAATACCTGCTGGAAGACTTTCTCCTCGGTGTCCGCATCTAGACCACTGAAGATATCGTCTAGCACTAGAAGATCAGAGTGCAAATACAGAGCTCGCGCAAGGGACACCCGTTGTTTCTGGCCCCCGGATAGGACAATTCCATCCGAGCCGATATTCGTTTGATCTCCCTGTGGTAGAGTGGCAAAATCAAAGTCCAGGGAGGTAGCCTTAATGACTTCGGCATACCTCTCATTATTGTGTGGAGAGAATCCAACGACATTATCTTTGATCGACCCATTCGAAAGGAATGCTGTCTGGTCGCAGAATCCAACGTGAGGATATCTAGTACCTAAAACCACGCTGCCTTCGCTGAAAGGAATTTCACCAAGCAGTGCCTTGCATAGCGTAGTCTTCCCAGAACCAACAGGTCCAACGACAATAGTGAGTGAGGACTTAGGTACTCGAGTACTTACATTCCTCAACACGAACTTGTCTGCTTCCCAACCGAAGTTCCCGCTCTTAATGACGATAGGATCCGCTGAGTCCGGTTCAGAATCAGATAACGTTCCGGTATCGGCTCGGGCCTTTTCAGCATTTCGCCTCACATCATCAAGAACTTGGCGAAAGTCATGGCGAGTCTCGCACTCCAAGAAGGCTTGGATTCGGCCCAAGCATGCCAGCCCGGAGACAAGTTGGGGAATTGATTGAAAGACCTGTGACAATGGGTTGGTCAAAAGTGTAAGGAAGGACAGACTAGTGAACATCGTCGAGGCATCGAAGGTTTTTTGGGTAAATGCGAATGTTAATGGCGGGCTGATCAATAGCGGAATGAAACCCAAAATTGCCGCAATGATGATTATCTTGCGAAACCGGGATCCAGCCGCTAGCTCTTGCACGCGGAGATTCTGCACGAAGTCGCCCATAGCAACCGAGAGGCCAGACAGCTTCAAGTTCTTCATACTAGCAATGACCGTGGCCGTTAGGCCCACCCGCTTCTGGACGCCTGCCATCCAGGACCTCTGTGAATCCCCCGTGAAGTGTATAAGGACCCCTAAGCCGATAAAACAGGCTATGACAACTGCCACCGGTGCGACGAACACCACACCAATTCGAGTGTACAACATCCACCCGGCGAGACCTGCTTGAACCATGCTCGCCCAAATCTCATGCAGATTTCTGAAACCCATGTCGATTCGCTCCATGTCCGTGCTCATCAAAGTCAGCGCAGCGCTGTCATCGCCAGTCCCAATACGAGCTTCCGTGGCTTTGATGAAAATTTCTGTGGCAAGTATAGACTTGGCCATAATACGCATCCGGTGGTGGAAGTACCTGTGTTTATGTATCAGTGGCGGGCTTTCCAATGTTACTAGTAGCTATGCCGTAGGTGTCACTATACCAGTAAAAGCCCATTGATATAGCAAGTCCCGAATAGATGAGTAGGCTAGCGCCGATAAAGCCGTATCCGACATTTTTGTCGAGTTCCGACTGGGATAGGTAATCCAACAGCTTTTCAAGGAAAAGCGGTTGGCAGAATGTGAAGCAAAGAAGTGCCAGGCGTCCAGGTATGGGAACAAGAAGAGGAACTTTCAGGGTGCGGATCAACACCTTCACCAGGCCAAATTTGTCACCCTTCAACTTAGAGTAATCGATGTTCTTCAAGAACTCATCGTGAAGCGCTCTGGCGTTAAAGGAGCTATCCAGTGGGTAAAGGTCCCCAACCGTCAAGATTTTGCTGTACCCATCCAAGAATATCTTGTTGAGCCAGAAGAACACTCCTAAGGAAAAGATGCCACTCGTCTCCTCTGGGCTATGCTCTTTCTCGTCCCATCCCACCCATCTGGACTTTTGCTGGGCTTCCAATAGCAATATGCCGGTCTTCAGAGCTATAGCAGTAACGAAGATGCTGCTATAGGTGAGTTCTGGTTTGTCATCTGATGACAGAAACAGCGTTCTTGCTTGGGCCACGTCCAGAAAAAGTGTCAAAAACAAGTAGCTGCTGAGCAGTGCAGACGGCTTTGGGCTTCTGCTGTGGTCAACAACACTCAGTGTGATCATGAGTAGGGCTGAGACAAGGTTGAGGACCGAGGAGGCTATGAACATGTTGGTAACATGGAAGGACCCAGTCGCAACTAAGATGAGAAGTGAAAGCTCAAGTCCGACATAGGTTGTGATAGCACCCTGCAGCACGTTGATCAGCACGTTGAGGGTCGACATGAGAGAAAGAGCATACCAGTTTGATCAATTGGAAAACCGGTGCATTCACCACGGCAGGCTTCCGTGCCTGATAAAGCGTCCGCCATAACGATGTTACGATGAACAAAGCGGACGGAATGATGGAGAAAAATAATTGCTCGAATTGGATGTTGAAGTCAAAAGTCTCTGGGTTCAGCCGAAGCAAGTTCTCTTGTCCGGTGGTGAAAGGCATTGTACACGCCGAAACGGGTAGAATGCTTTCAATGTAAGCTTACTTCTTTGTCGCAGAAAACCGGGTCTCTGTCGTGCGGCTTTGGGAGCCCAGTTGAGGTCCGGAGGATATGTCGCAGCCGAGCCAACCACACCATGAAAGATGAAAGGTGGGAGAGGGTTGAAGAATGTTTTTTGTAGGCAACTAGACTACGTAAATGTAGGTAACCATGAAAGTTGATCTAGTAAGTATCAGGTGACCCTTATCTCCAACATTGAGGCTGATCCATGGATGCTACCCTATTGATACGGCTAACCCGTATCGAATACGGTACGTACCGTAATCCCGGGATTAACCCCTGTCAGTCAAAAGCCCCGGAGCCAATAAATCCCCGTATTCCCACGTCAGTCATATGCGGTATCGCGCCATACGTGGACCTGCGAATCACTTCGAGAAAAACCGTTCCCTGTGGCTTGACAACCAATCGGAGCTCCGAAGATTTAAGCCCCGAAGGATTCGAGCTCCGAGACAAGGGCTCAATCTGCCAGTCAATCCAGGGTGTCAAGGCGTATAGCCTGATGTTAATTTTATTGACCAATTTGCGCATCCTGTCCCGTGAGCCCGCTGTGCTGGTTCCGTCGGTAAATCCAGCATATCGGCCACTTTGGCTTAGTAGAATTACACTTGCAACGAGGGATCGATTCTATTAGCGGATTTAAATTCATGGCCGCCAACCTTGGAACTTGCAATAATGACCATCAATATGCAGGTACCCGTGTACGGCAGGTTCAGAGTCCAGCGTGCCAACTATGTAATTCATTCCTCACCCTCTTTATCGCATTACTCTTATTTGATCTTTGTTGTACATGATTAGAATAGGGTGGACGAGTGTTAAAAAAGAGCCCTAAAATGAGGTTTAGAGGGTTCAAAGGACTATTAAAACAAGTGCTCAAACAAGTGCTTAAAAGAGGGGGGATTACAGCTGTACATGGTAAATCAAGTCCAATCTTCAAATATAGCCTTTATCTTTGATGTTACTTATTTTTTACTTCTTCCAGATACGACCTTGCTAAGGTTATAGGTGAAAGCTTACATAGTAGCTAGTACTCATCTGCCGAAAGCCCCCGGTTTGGCACGATGGACTGTAAAACCTGTCGTAACTCGTGGAATAGTTTTTGGCCTCTTATTTCAAAGGTCTATAATATCTGCTATCAAATCAACTAGATACCCCGCCGCATGCACAACCAACACCCTTCCAGAGGTTGAAGATGTCCAATTCTCATCAACTCTTTTCTAGATACATGTTGTCTTTCGAGCTGATCACAGACCAAAGTACCTCAATTGCAAACCAAGAGTAGCCAAAAGCGTTTTTAGCAGCCAAACTCATATAATAAGCTCGAGCCCCGGAGATTCCACAAGTAGGGCCATCTGTTTCTCTACTCGATGGTGGCGCAACCAAGTTCGTGTAGTGGGTCTATTCGTGCAACAAAATCGATCCTAACATTTCCATCTTCCATGACATATACGTATCGCAACTTTTACACACAACCTTATCAATTCCGTCACAACCCTTAACAATTCCACCATGACCAAACCCAGCTTTCTTGCAGTGGTGATATTAGGATCGTCGGTGTTATAGTCACGCAACTCTGTCATAGTGTCACCATCGCAGGTATAGTCACAATCGTCATCCTCGTAGTTCATAAACGGGCCAAGCGCGATCTGTATTACGCTACAACACTGGCTTAGCCTTTGGCAATCTGATAGCCGCCATACAGTAATGATCTCGGTTGCAGGGATAATGTCTACTAAAGGCTACCAAGGCTATTAAAGCACGGTCAAACAATAATTTCTTGGTGTGAACTTTGTACCTCTTTATTCTCACATCAACTAGAGATATTCTACTCCATACCAATTGCAATCAAAAGATGAAAATGTACGACAATGCTCCCCCATCAATCTCCATCGCACTCGCTATCACGCCGCCGAACTTTCCCCGCAGCCCCAGCCAGCCACCAACAATCACCCTAACAGCAGTTTCACACTACCTTGAACCAATCACAATATTTACTCAACCCACAATATTCAACCTCGGTCTCAGCCAGCGTCGCAGCAACTTCATTTGTCACGATATCACTACGGCAGAAACAACCTCGCTGCACCTGAATATCACCAAAGGTAGAAAGCGCCCAGCCTTCAATCACGAGTAAGGTGGGTCCGATGATCGCCTTTTTGTCACATTGAGCCCGAGACACCGACTGAGTTCCAGGAGGTGTTTCGCCTGTCAAATAGTACAGGAGATCGAAATACGCTCAAAATCGGACACCGGTATTGGTTTGGGGCAATGCAGCAAACAGAACTCAAGAGAACAAAATTGGCGAATCACATATATGTATCATCACCATTGACCACATCCAGTCACACAATCAATCTATAAGCGAAGTGAAAAGCAAGCATACCGATATTGGACAAATCGCTGCTTTCCATTATAATTCGTCGAGCTTTTTTAGATCCTTACAGGTACCACACGATGGAACCTTCACGTTTCACATGCCATATCATTATCGGAACGAATGAACTACCCAGATACTCAGGTAGGCTTAGTGTCAAAACATTTTCGGCAGCCGATTTACCATGGATTAGAATTTGTAGTACGGAGTATATTAATCCGTGTATAAGCAACTATATCCATTACTAGTATACTGTAAGTACACATGAACACTTCAATCATCATAATTCAGTAGCAGAGCGATAATGCGATACCGAGGTCACAAGTGGCAAGGACTTTGCAAACTCATCAAATATGAATTTAGAAGCCAATCAGAAGACTTATACATCTGAGGTTGCACACACAGACGTCATTTAGCGTAGATACAGAATGACTAGGTACAGGAATATGCACGTATATCCCACCCCCTCCTACCTGCAGCTGACCGACCTATCGCAAGTGATAGGCACTGGATCGAGTACATAAATCCTGCAGGACTACCTTCATAGGCTATCCCAAAACCAATCGATATGTACCATCCATATTCATGGTATTTGCGTGAAGAAAACCCCCTCTTCAGGACTTTAAAAAGCAGTCCGACCCAGCATAAGTACATACACCCCTCTCTTGATATCATCTTTGAAAATTTTATCCTTAACATCAACATCAACATGTTGTCAACGCTATGGTTGGGTTTTCTCATTGCTTTTGTATTTTGGATTGCTACTGCCCTTCCTGGTCGCAAAAAATATCCCCTGCCTCTTCCTCCTGGTCCTAAGCAGAAGCCCATTATTGGAAATCTGAAGGATCTTCCAACCCCAGATCAACAAGATTGGATGCATTGGCTGAAACATAAGGAGCTATATGGTAAGAGTGAATTCATGTGGAGTGTACCAAGTTGGGATGTTGACTTTTCCCAAATTAGGACCAATTAGCTCACTCACTGTACTGGGAAAACACATTATCATTCTTAACGATGCTAAGTTAGCGGTGCAGCTACTAGAGAAACGTTCCGTTATACACTCAGGGCGTCCAGAAAACATGTTTACTGACATGTAAGTGAAGGCATTATTGACATGATACCAGAGTGACTAATATCTCCAGGTCGGGCTGGCAATTTGTTCTTGGGGCGCTCAGAAACCCGGACCACGTAAGAAAAACCCGGAAACACTTGTATCAAGAGATGGGTTCAAAAAATTCCGTTACTCGTTTCAACGATGTTCAGACAGCGGAGGTCGGTCGTTTCCTGTTGAGAGTATTGGATGAGCCAGACAAGCTCCATCAGCATATACGGAAGTGAGTCAATGCCTCTATTCAGCAGCATGTTATTTTCGTATGCAAAAGCTAATTGCAAGCAGAGATGCTGGAGCTATCGTCTTGAAAATAGGCTACGGGTATACTATTGAGCCCCATGCTCGGGATCCTCTTGTGGATCTGGCCGACAAGGCGATGGAGGACTTTTCATATGCCTTGCTTCCAGCAACGTGGGCGGTGGAGTTTATTCCAATTAGTAAGAGAAGATTGATAAAGTTATATCGACACACTGAATTATAGAGTATTTTCTGACTCTCTGGCTAGTGAGATATCTCCCGACCTGGTTTCCTGGAGCACGATTCGTGAAGATCGCTCAAAACTACAACTTGAGAGCAAAGTCGTTTAGTGATGTTCCGTACGCATTTACCAAGCAGCAGATAAGTAATGGCCGCTTTGTTCCATCTTTCTTGTCCAATCTTCTTCAAAACAATCCTGTGGAGCCTGGGACCGAAGAGGAAGAGATCATCAAGTGGTCAGCCGGGTCTTTGTACGCCGGAGGCGCAGATACAGTGAGGGCAAATCCAGGCTGTACACATTATATTAGACTGACAAAAAATAGACTGTCTCCTCTATTGCGAGTTTCTTCCTCGCAATGGCCCTTTTTCCAGAGGCGCAACGCAAGGCTCAGGAGGAACTCGACACAGTGCTTGGGGGCAATCAATTACCCCAGTTCCGAGATCGAGAGAACCTTCCATATATGGATGCACTAGTCAAGGAAGTTCTCCGATGGCATCCGGTTGTACCCATGAGTGTCGCACACACGTCGAACCAGGACGATACTTGCGAGGGGTACTTCATTCCCAAGGGATCGTCTGTTCTTGCAAACATATGGTAAGCTGCTCTTGTCTACCGAAGAGGGCAGTAGTTTCTGATACAGTTCTTGATCTCCTAGGGGATTTACACACGATCCAACTGTCTATCATGACCCAATGACCTTTAAACCGGAGCGCTTTTTAATCTCCCCCGAGGGCAAACTCCCAGAGCGCGATCCTCACATGCTTGTGTTCGGGTTTGGCCGTCGAGCCTGTCCTGGGCGGACTCTGGCAGACGCGAATGTCTTTCTCACTGTTGCTCAGGCTCTGTCTGTCTTCAGTATCTCGAAACCGATAGAACACGGGGTCACCCAGGATATCCCTCTAAAGTTTCTCCCCGGAGTCATTAGCCATCCGGCTCCGTTCAAGGTTTCAATCCAGCCGCGAAGTGCGGTACATGAACAACTCATCCGAGAGCTCGAACAGCATTATCCTTGGGAGAAGAGTGATGCTGAATTTATCCCGAGTGTGTAGATGGCGATCCGTATATTCTCAAATGGCTGGTGATTACCCCATCTGGTTATGTGGGTGCGAGAAACTCTCAATGACAATTGTTTGAATCCAGAAACTATCTAACACCGGTCAGTGTGCTCGGACGCATTCGAGATTTTTTCTACCTCGGTCGTCCTAACACATTTTCTGGAGAGAGTTTCATTTGGAATTAAACGGGCTCCCGAGAACAAGCTATCTACACTATGTTCTCTTGGTCCAGCCGTCTCAGCCCCAGCCGTCTCAGCCCCAGCAATCATCTTGTTACACTGAGGCATTGCTTGCTGAGGCAGTTTGTCAGACCTCTCTTTACCCATTTGTGACTTGTTTTTTTTGTATCCATCAAGCTACCAAAATAGCCTCATGGCAGTGATGGCGATCTCCGTCATTAATATTCTCGTCAATCGCTTCCTGCTTTCTTCCACATAGATGCTTCTTGTATCACATTTCAAAACTTCACTTGGAACTGTTAGATATACCGAGGGCCAGTATCAGATGTAAAGAAGTCATAGATTTATATAAGATATGAGATACTGTAGTCATAGACTCAGTGAATGACTAGAAACGACCCAGAAAGTGAGAAGATGCACCTGGGCAGGTAACCAAGTGTTTACGCTCCTAGTGGAGTTGTCAGACCCGACTCGTCATTTTGGCGGTGACATCCGGATGCCTGCGTCTGCCTAATATTTCAGGCTCCACTTCAACCCGGTAGAGTTGGGCAGAATCTCGGCTTGGCCAATTTCATCCCTCTTCAAATCAATTTCCATTTCACTCTGCATATTTGTCTGACCGTCTCAAGTTGAACAAGATAATTTCGACACTAAAGACGGTCTAATCGACTATATATCATTGCCTCATTGACCCATAAGCTCCCGCAGCAGTCACCAGCAAAGTGCCACGCCTTCCAATCTTTGCTCCCCACGTTTGGGCTCGATTAGGCAAGAGATACACATATTGCTCTTTCCATCTTAGATCTCCGTACAGCCAAGTCACGACAAATTTGGAAAACAACACGTCAATTCCTCTTTTGTCTATCATGGCTTCAACCACAACAACCGTTGACAAGTTATTTGTCTGTCCTGGATGTCAGAGAGGTGGCTTCAAAAGCATCGGTGCCGTCAAGGCTCATTTTGAGTCCAAAGGCCACAAGCTTGCTTGCAGTCCCTGCGACAGATCTTTTGGAAATGTAACAGCGTTGCTCAAGCACTCCCAGAAACATGAAAAGCCCCTAGATGCTCCCGATCTCAAAACTCTCAAGTCGGCAAAACCAGTGCCAAAGAGCGCAAAGCAGCAGAAGCTCCAGGATATTGCCGAGCTCTTGTCTGCCAACCCTGTGAAGCCAGCCTCAAAGTCTGTGAAATCTACAAAGTACCCCGATCTCTCTGAGTCTTTTGTCAAGCCTGCAAAGCCATCGCCGAAAACCAAGTCACAGGATTACCCCGATCCCCTGCCTGCCAACTCTCTCAACCCTGCGAAATCCATCACAAAGAAAACAAAACTTGAGAAGTCTCAAGAACTGTTTGAGTCTTTGTCTGTCAAATCTGCGAAACCAAATTCAAAGAAAACAAAGATTGAGAAGTCCCTGGATCGCTCTGATATCTTGCCTGCCAAGCCTGCGAAACCAGCTCAAAAGCACGCATCAAACCAGACCCCAGTACGTGCTCCAGTGAGGGCAGAGGCTTTTGAAGACCTATGGAACAAGTCCTCTGAACCTGAACACCCGAATGCGTCATCGCCTGCCACCCAAAACGCAAATTATCATGTTGTCCTCGAGCCGCTCGAACAAAACTTGATCTTTCGCTATTTGTCGGCACGGTGTCACTCGGACACCCGTTTGGTCACCCGAGGTTTCACCTTTCGGGCTGGCTTGGCAGATGTCAGCAAACGCCCATCGAAGAAGCCCCCTCCGAAAACAGGACATTTCCGCCAAGTTCCTCGCTCTTCGGTCGGCTTGCCGAAAAGGAGAGCAATCGTTCTTGACTGTGAGATGGTGCAGGTTGAAGCAGGACGTCGGGAGCTTGCTTTTTTGAGCGCAATCGACTTTTTGACTGGCGAAGTTCTCATCGACAATTATGTGCAGCCGAAATCGAGAGTCGTGAATTGGGATTCTCGGTTCAGTGGGGTAACTCCCGGTGCCATGAACAAAGCTGTGAAGAAAGGGACGGCCTTGTTTGGCTGGGAAGGAGCGCGCTCGAAATTATGGGAGTTCATGGATAGCGAGACTGTCCTCATCGGTCATTCTCTCAACAATGACCTTGACGTCTTGGGTATCATCCACTGGAACATTGTCGATTCCTCTATCATTACCAGCGAAGCAGTGTTTTACTCTGTACATGCCGGTGAACCACTCAACCGTACATGGAGTCTGAAGACTCTTACCAATGAATTAGTCAATTATGATATCCAAGCTGGGAGACAGGGCCACAGTGCGCTGGAGGATGCACACGCAACACGGGATATTGTGATCTGGTGTCTGAGATACCCGGAGCACCTGAAGGTATGGGCGGACAATGCCCGGGACCAAGAGGAGCAGCGCGCGTATGAGAGGGAGTTGAAGAGGACGACAGAGGAGCAGGCGAAGGAGCAAAAGAGACAGCATGATATGGAGATAAAGATCCAGATGTTATCTCGTGGCGTTAATGGTTTGGATATTCATGACATTGGCCTGTCTGATGATGATGCTAATGACCCTGATCATTCTTTTGTCAATCATGAGGGTGATGACGTTGACTACGAATCGGTAACTATTGAAGCGGCCGCAGCTTCATTCTTTTGATACTCCAATGTCTATAATTATCTGTCAATTATGATGTTATATGACAATTCAATTACATGTGTTCAGCCGTGCAATAATTGAGCTATTCGCTGTTGCTCTCCTTGTCTTATGTTCGACAAGGGATATGCCCTCGCCATGCAATACGACAGGAGTGGTTTTGTCCACAATATCGATACCAGTCAAATTCAAAAAGCCCATGGCTTTAATAAAGCGCAACCTCACAACCTAGAGGCACTGTTATACACAGTGACAGCTGTCGTCATCGATACAGTTCGTGTCTCCCCCGCAATACTAAGAGAGGTCTGCCATATTATCGAGTGACTCACCCTAGTATTGAAAGTGACAAAACTAGGCTGGATGCTAGACAAAGGGCTAAGACGCTTCCCCCAACTCATCAGGCCATCGTGCCTAAGAACAAGCCCAAGCACCCTTCCAATATCGACCGGTGTCTCACTCGGCCCAGCAAAAGTTACAATGGGACTCTCGAGCCGCTCAAACGCTTTCTCTAGACCCAAATGCTGAACAAAGACATGCTCATCACTAGGAATCCCATAAAAGCTCTCCTCACTCGGTTTGAGAACAATCTCGACTTTCGAAAGAATACTCATCTTAACCGCAGTAACATCGACCCGTTGCACAACATCCCAAATAGCACAACTACTCCCATCCCGCTGCGGTATAACCCTAATAATAAGCGGAATCGGCGACAAATGATCAAGTTGAATAGCAATCGGCACACTCATCACAACCTCAAAGCTAAATCCAGGAACGGAAGATAACCCAAGAATCTTCTGCGTCTTCTGCGACAAGGACAAATCCACATCCCGCATCGACGGAAGCAATCGTTGACTGCGCACCCGGCTCACAATACTACATCTCTGCAGCGCAAACCGAATCCCGCCCGCGTCTACCGTCGGATAACCGAGCGTGATAGGCGCTGCCGCACGTTTGATATGCCATGAGCCATTGCGAATATACCGCAGCTGCGCCTGGAGATAGTACTCGATGCAGACCTTGGCTCCAGTCCATTTGGTGGAAAATGTCCCCGGTAACGGGTGCTGTACGATGCAGTGTGCTTCTAGGGGAATGAAGCTCTCTTCTTGTAGGTGATCGCGTACTGCTCCCAGGGAAGCTGCTTCGGGGATATTAATTGAGAAGGGGATGTTGATCCAGTCGGCTGGGGTACTGGGCGAGGGTATATGTATAGGTCCACGGAACAAGGTTTGTGATGGAAGCTCGAAAAGCTTCCAGTCGCCATAGTATGTCGCTTTCGACGGGTAGCCTTCTGTTATTAAGCGGGCTTTTGTGCGTCCGATCAATGTAACGGAGATCTTGGCATCCGGGGCCACGATGTGCGAGTGGCGATTCACGCTGCCGATTATCGTGTCCCCTGCGACATATGTCCATATTGGAGGCGCTGCAATGGATATATTGAGGTTAGGGCCTCCATTTGTCTGGGTGGGACGCATGGTTTCATAGCAGTTGAAGGAGGGGGAAGTTCTTTGAAAGAAATTTGATAAAGCCACGAGTTTCTTACATAACTCATGGGGTGCAGGGGGCTAAACTATTAGTTAATCAAATAAGGACGTTGGCTGTCGCAAATAAAGAACTGCGGATTGCGGAGATATTTTTACGAGGATAATGTAGACGGGGTGGAGCAAAGGTAATGGCATAGTGAAAGAAAATCCCGGTATGGATACTACACCGCTACAGTGATTATCGAGAAGTAAATGTAAAATCCCCTTAAATGAATGATACACATCTTACTGTTCTGTTTCTGCCTGCTCGTGTTAACCTCGGCTTCCTTTATGCACTTGCCAGGCATACAAGTCAGACCTATCTAGGCATATTTCAGTCACATGCATTCAATTATGTTATAGCTTTTCCATTTGGCAGGCCAAAGGAGTATGAACTGGTTCGTATTTTTGTAGAACGTCGTCAAGGATAGAGGCCGCATGAGCGGCTGACTATCTCTGGAATACCTACCTAGGTACATACCTTCGTACGTTGGAAGGCATGAGACGATCATCCGAAGCGATGACCCCCAGTTTTTCCTTTGACTACACATACTTCTCGTCATCTATCCTACAGCGGTTGAGTGATCAAAGACAAAATCGAATCCTATAGCGTTTACTTTAAGCAAATAGCAAGAATCAAAAGCAAGAAACCCGGGTATCAGATTCGCACTCGAGAGCAGTGCATAAATACAATCTCCTCTCGCAGGCAAGTTTCATACATACAAGTACAGTTCCAAGGCAGGTCGATAATCCCCCACCAACTCACCAGACAAGACAAGATTTGAAGTCGAGTCGAGCAAGGAGAAGGAGGCATCAATCACACCCCGATAATCTGCAAGACACAAGAACAAAAAAGATACACGTCGAAATAATTTCGATATCACTGTGCGCCCGCCCAGACGCCGTGTAAAAATAAAAGCCAATCCCAGACGCCGTGTGCATCAACGATGCAGAATGTGTATAGTCATAGCCACCAGGGACGGAGGTAATATCAGCAGGTGAAGGGTAAAAGTAAAGTAAAGTGAGGTCGTTCCACGTATTCCCGGTGTACGTCCATGTACCGAGAGGGGAGGGAAGGGTATCATGCAGTGCGGGACGATATTTCAAGGTAAGGGGAAGTGATGCAACTTTTGTAAAGCTGGCGGTGAGATGAATCACTGATTGGCCTGTTTGGTTGTAGCGGGCTCATTTTGGGATTTGTTATGATTTTCGGGCTTTGCAGAGCCATGACCGCCACCATTTGCAGACTCCCAGAACGGCAGTGCGGCCATCGTCCTTTCGCTCGGTGCCGTCTGGGTTACCCAGGACCATGGAGAAAACCCAGAAAAATGCGGCTGTCCATGCGAAGAGGAGTATCACAATGCTAAATAGCGGGGATGAGACCAGGACTAAAATTGAAGTAGCCACTGCGTAGACCTCGCTTGGCTCGGATATGACTGATGGTTGGTCTGAATCTGGCTCTGAGCGGATCCATTGGGTCGATTGAGTCGAGGATGATCGGTCTTTCGCTGATGGCGGTAGCAAGCAAACGAGCCGTTCATGGATGTGGAGGACAGGAGAAAGGAGGTCGCAAAGTTGTGATACGAACGTCGTTGCACGGAGGTATGAGGAAAATGAGCAGAGACGGAAAGGTGAGATAAGGAGTGCGAATACGAGGGCGAAGATAGTATATAGAGAAGCGCCGAATGAGTAGAATGGGACGATTGTGAGACGAAACTGCCGGTTTATATTAGCATATGAAACATTAGACCACTATATTGCGCACTTACCAGCATCAGGAGAGCATCTTGGCCCTCATTGGTGACTAATTCATCATCCGGAATGGCTCGTTTTCGGCCACGGATTATGCTGGGGTTGGAATTATCCCCAGACATTAATGACGGCCGGTCTGTCCAGCTGCTGGGGGCCCGCTCTTCTTTGTGTGCACCACTTGATGTCGAGCCGCCAACCGGAACGGAGTCGGTCTCTCGAGAGTCTGAACCGGGCCAGGAAGGTCCTCCTAGTGTTTGGTTATTGTATACACGGTGTGCCCGTGAGCCTGAAGTGCGGGGACTGACGTCCCGGCTTGGTATGGGAGAGGAGGGTCGAGATTCGCCTATAGGGTGACCCAATATGGAGGATTGTTCTTGGGATCGACGGGTAGCCGGTGGAGGGGTGACGATCGAGGTGCGAGGATGTGTCGTTCCATGAGGTCCTTGGTCCTGATAGTAGGCGGGACTATATGACATCTCCGGTGACGACATGTCGGGCGAGTAAATGAAAGCAGGAGGTGAAGACGAAGCAAGAGTCGTACAAAGTAGACGCACAGAGGGCGACTATTGCATGTAGAATTCACCGCATGGTTTCCGTAGTTGTATTCTGTCTGGCATAGGGGGCTCTCTGTTGACGAGTCGAAGGGGGAAGGGGGCGGGCAAGGAGGGCGGAAGAGACTTATAAGAGACCACGGAGAGCCGCAGCTTGAAAGAGCGGAAAAGGCAGGAAAGCCCAGGAAAGGCCGTGCCAGACAGCGGAGGAGCATTTCCTGCTGTTTGCAGTCCCTCTCGCCAAGACGCCCAGATGCCGAGCCCTTGGCATTTAGTCGAGCCTTGTATGGGGTACAAGAATCATTTGTGGGTATCCTGCTGATCCTTTTATCTCAGATCCCGAACATGGCTATCTAGAGCGTACTCTATAGCAGGGTAAGGTTGTGTCAGACAAGATGTGCAGTTGTCCTACCGTGAAACAAAGATGCCGAGTGGTCTAGGGGTCAAAGGTGCAGATGAATTACGAGATTTTACCATCCGCCAAGGCGCCAAGCAGCCACCGGGGATGATAAGTCGATAATTCCTGGCCTCTGATTGGTCGACTGTGATGAGATGATCCGCGATGAGACGAATCCTGGAGTCTTGGCGGTAACAGCCATACGCACGTGATTACTTGTATTGCTCCTATTGCCCAATCTATATAATCCTGAAATCCTCCAAAATCACATAGATATGTCGTATGAAGTTTGATTCTAGGTGATTTAATACTCACAACAGTGGGTTTCACAGAACTTTATAGGGCTACTACAAACATTGGAACCAACAGCAAAATCAGGGGTCACAATACGTACCCCCAAGGAGGGTCAACGCCCAGACGCCGAGAGGTTGGCATTCATTTCGGAGGAAGGGTTTTCAGATTGTTCAATATCTCTTACCTAACTTTTGCCAATAATTGTCTTGAGTTTTGCCCAGGTGCATAGTATCAGCCAAAATACATACTCCGTACCTATCTTGATCCTCTTACCAGATACCCCAGCCCTGACAGGAAGAGTCTTGGAAGTCTTGGCTTTCTGGTACTTTCATTCCGCTGTCCGGTTGAGATGAATCTAATTATCTCGGCGAATCAACGCCTCTGGCATTCGCTTCAGATCCAGAATTTGCTTTCTCGTTAACGGAGTTCAACTCTTGGCTTCTTGGGTTTTTCTTTCTGAATGCCTGGGCACTGAATACAAAACCGTATTCTCTGCTTGGCTACCAAGGTGAGCGGTCAGGAGCGACTGATTGCGTGTTCTGTGCTCGGCAACCGTAGCGTTGCCGCACTCCCGGTCGAGTCTGCTGTTTTATCCTTTATTTGCGACTATATGGTTTCCTACCAATTCCCCTTGGCTGTCAGTCTTTGCTCGATCAACACGAGAATCATGTGCTCTTACTCAAATTCAGTCCGTGATCAACCATACAACTGCTATTAGCCAAGCACGCAATGGCATGGCATGAAAATGACAGGTGGCGAGTGTAGATCAATCATATCCCTCAAATTTGGGTGCTGTTCCAAACCACCCAACATGAGGGGTCGTGATCTGCTTATGCGCTGGCTATTGATCACCGTCAAAAATGATCGACGCTTCCATATCTCTCACGTCTCACAGCTATCCGATCGGCCAAGCTATCTACCTGTCATATTGGACCGACTTGTATGTCATTCGTCCGTCACATATTCCCCTTTGGAATGACAGCTATGGCAACGTTATATGAAGGCACCTCCCCCCCCCCTTAACTGCACGCAAACCTGAGGTCACTATCTCCAGGCCAAATTCCATATGAGCAGCTCTTCTTCCCGGCTCTTCACCCACGAGGCACCAACCGCGCCCTACGGCACACATATATCCAGCTTCTCTTCCAGAGGTTATCCCTCATCCACACAGGGTGGTTTTCACTAATGCTTCCCGCACATTATTTATTCACCACCACTCGAATTTCAAAATGGATTGAAGACTTGAAATAAAAATGCTTGGAAACAGAAATTACTGAGGCTGCTACTGAGATTCCGAGTATCAGTACGCCGATCTTTGCTGATCTTGACCATTTCGTATAAAGGTTGGGAGGTTTTTTGTATGCTCAGATCCTCGAACCTCGGTTCTCACAAATATTATACCGGCTTCCCTAGGGCTATTACTTCACATATGATTTTCTTGTCCCTTCCCTTCATCTCATTTCCTTTACTTAACTTCTATATCTCACCCAGATTGACAATATTCCGACCTAGTAGATTGCCTTCTTACATCGTAGGATGGTTGATCCTCATGATCAATTGATCAATAAATGCAATTGGAACTTGGTCTCTCAATAAGCCACCAGACGTCTGAGCGCTCTTAGTATCCACATGTACCTTTTCTTAATGCACGTTGTATTTTATATTGTTTATATACTCATACTTGGTTAGATCTAATACCTCGTGACATTTTCTTGACATATTAAATGACATGCCCGGAAAATAAAGTTTTCTACTCCAGATATCCATCCTTGGAAGGCACATCAGATCACGTGCTCGTCCATATTGGGAAGGTTGACTTTGGGGAAAGTTGCAAGAAAACAATGTGTAGGTATTTGAATTTTTTTATGTTTTGTGAATATATATTTAGTGTATATCTCCATCAAACTCTTGTGTATGTAGCTGTGCAAAAGAGGAAATCTGAACAAATGCTGAGTTGA